TACCCAAGTAGAAATATCAAGTTTCATTTCCCAGGACTGCCGAGAAACAAATATCAGCCCAACCCAGGTAGGAATCGGAAACCCATAACGTTCTGAACCAGGCACTCTGGGACTCACGTCTCAACGAACTTTGCCATCACGTCCACAATAATTTTATACACTGAATACATTTTTTAAAAATTATTATCTACTTAAAATTATTGTGGACATGATGACCGAGCACGTTGAGCCGTGAGTCCCGGTTCAGAACTTCCTGGGTTTATTATGGGTTCGATTCCTACCTGGGTTGGACTAATATTTGTTCCTCGGCAGCTGTTGAAGTTTAATATGCACTTGTGGATTTGGAAAATATTGCTTCGCTTTCAAAAGTTGTATTTTTAGTTAACTACCAAGCTTGAACATAGTCTAATAGATAATAAAACTGATTGAACTAATTGAGGGAACGGGCTTTTTATCGAACTCCCTAGTTGTGCAATAATTAACAAAACAAGGCATTTCATCATCTCTTATAATAATTTAACAAGGGAAAAAACTCAGCAGTGGTACAATACCAATACCGCACGTAAATTTAAGGCAAAGAAAGGGTGATGAGAGCAAGGATAACTGGTGCTTGCCTTTTCAGTTCTAATTTGTGGCTGCCCATTGGGAGCCTGGATTCTAAACAATGATATTTCACACGAGAATTTCCTCAAGTTAACGTATAAGGAGTTGCAGGGGTGCCCTTCCCCCCAAGGTCGATGGTACCTGAACCCCTCTTCTCCCATCTCAAGATACTTTATTGCTCTTCTTTCCTTAAAAACAGTGTAAGTGAAAGTAGAATTAAAAAAAAAAATAGATCATGCAAAATTAAATCTGTTACGGTCTGTCCCATTTCTTCCTTTTTTTTTTTGGTTTAAAACTTTTCTTTTCGAAAATTCACAACCTTGTCGAAATGTGCCCTCCTCAAAAATTCAAAGCAACGTCAAAATATATTTCGCAGTTTGCGCCATGAGACACCCTTCTAACCTTTCCTGAGTTGTAAAGAAATGTTGGAAGTAGAACCTTTGAAAGAACCTTCAGAAGCTGTTCTTCAAACTACTTATTGTTAGTGATGTGTTACATTTCTCCTTGACTGTAATTTAGTTTGAAATGTTATTAAAAGTAATAGACGTGTTCGACCTTATAGTTTTTGAAATATCCTCGAAAAACTAAAAAAAATATCAGTATTCTGTTCTCTCCCTCTCCACCATCAGCGGGAAACTTTTTTTCCAGTTATTGTGAGGAGAAAAGGAACAATTTCTGAAAAGTTTAATTTTTCTTTTTGTTTTGGATTTTTGGGTCAATCACTAAATTTATTGTACTATATGGTTATGGTTAATATTCAGTATTATATATAATCAAAAATCTTCTCAACAAACATATCTGTTTCATTTTAGTGCATGATTAACATTTCTTCATGAATTTAAACATTTTTTCAAACATCGGTCTCAGACAACTAGAGGTATGTAACAACTTCCATCTCAAAAGTATATTCAATTTATTTTTTAAATAAAAAAAATCCCACTATACAGCAATGTCATCGTGTGGTAGACGTAGTCTCCTCTGCATTGGAGCGCGGAATGTACTGTACGGGAGTCTTTCTCGACGTTGAACAGGCGTTTGATAGAGTTTGGCATCCGGGACTGCTGTACAAACTCCGAAAATTCCTACCACCTACATACTTCCTCATTATCCGTTCTTACCTTACTGATAGATACTTTAAAGTAAATCACAATAACGCCTATTCATCCCTTTTTTCCCAGTCCGCTGGTGTTCCTCAAGGTAGTATCCTAGGTCCTATCCTCTATACAGTTTATACAGCTGACATCCCAACCCATCCCAACACTGTCATCACCACATATGCCGATGACACATGTATCCTATCAGTAAATAATGACCCAGCAATTGCATCCCAAATGCTTCAATCACACATCATAAATCTAGAAGTATGGTATCAAAACTGGAGAATTAAAATAAACTCCAATAAATCCCACCAAATTACCTTTACCCTTCGTCGTAAACCAACAACTTCCTGTCCTACAGTTTCCTTTAACAATACTCCAGTTATCCCTGTTGAGCAAATCCGATACCTAGGACTCCACCTGGACAAACAACTAACTTGGAATCCTCATACTAGACTGAAACGACAAGAAACCGCTCGACGTTTCCGATTACTTCAGCACTTACTAGACAAACGTTCTAATCTTCCAATTAATTACAAAAGACTCATATACTTGACTATAATAAGGCCTATTTGGACTTACAGAGTTGAGCTATGGGGCTCCTCTAAACCGAATCGAATTCCTCTCGTATCCAATCCTTACAATCCAAAATCCTTCGTAAAATCCTCAATGCTCCCTACTTTGTTACAAATAAAACCATCCATAATGACCTTAATGTTCCTTTTGTTTCAGATCTGGCCCAATCCAGATACCTATCCTTCCATAATAAACTTCAGAATCATCCCAACCCTCTCGTTTCAAACCTTGCTTCCTCTTCAGTTCCTGATAACCCTCCGAGGCGTTTGAAAAGAAGATGGCCCCGTGATCTCCTAATGTAAACATATCATTAGAGTGCTACCATTGGGTAGTTACTCAGCAAGTGTTTTTCATGTCATTATATACATTATGTTCTAATTTACTAGATGTATTTATTTAATACAGTTGTAAATGTCTTTAAGAAAAAAAAATAAAATAAAAAAAATGTATAATATGTTATAACATAATTTTAAATTTATCACAAAATGTTAGTACTGCACTAAAATGGCATAGAACTGTTCGCTGAGAAGGTTATTCATTATACATAATGGTAAACATTAACCAGAATAACTTGCCCTCGAAGATGGGCCAGGAGCCCGAAACATCGACAAAGGTAGAATAAATAAACTATTTATCAACGGAAGAGGTCCCTTCTTTTATAAACAACAAATATCACGTACAACTATTCCTCATATACATAAAATACGTGAATAATGTAATTAACGTATTTTCTTGAAATCTAGTTTTAAATGTATTCATTATTTTACTGACAAATTCATTGTTTTAGCTAGTAGTAGTAGTAGTAGTAGGCCCTTTTATTAATGAAATTATAATAAGTATACAATCGCGTGTACAGAAATTAATTCACCTGAGGCAGAAAATAAATGAAGAAATATATTATGAAATTTACCCTGTTATTTATTACTAAATCATTTTCTAATAATAGAATGGCGGAGTGAAAGAAGGAAATTTTATGAAGCATATTTGACTTGTTTTTAACTAAAAAGACATTGGAGACAGATTTACACTCGGAATAAAACGACCGGCCGTTATCTAAATCTGCTGATTCAGATCACAAGCGGATCCAGGATTTCATTTTGGGTGGAAGGGGATTCAGTCCGACAGATTTTTTTTTTAATATAAAGATAATTACTTTGGAAGAAAGAAACTAACTACCCTTATCAAAAGGTGTTCAAGTGATTTTTGAAGTCCTATTAAATGTAATTACACGAACAATAATACTTTTAGAGATATTTTTTTTTTCTTAAGACACGTTAATATTTTACCATTTTGGGGAACTTCAGCCCGAAAGCTCCTCCCGTAGATCCGTTTACGATTCAGATTGAAGAAATTTTAAATCGAGCAGCAAGTACGAATAACGTATTCCACACTCGATTCATAAACACATGAGAACTGCTAATTTTGTTTTAGAATCATATATTGAGATATCATGGGCAAACTGATTGGATTATCTTTAATTTTACATTTTGTACTGAGACACAAATTTAGTTTGAATTCTTATCTTCTTGTTTTTCTATTTTTCAGAATCATCAAGAGGGGAAATAAAAGCTGTACTATATTACTTTATCAAATATGTTTTGTAATTTTACAGGACTGTTCATTGAGGACAAAAAAGGTATTTCACTATCTCACATAATAAAACCAATGTACTATTCATTGTTATATGTTTTTATTTATTGTTAATCTTTTTATAGTATGTATGTATTGATTATGTTAACAGAATAAATTATGTATTATTAATTTCAATAAAGTTATATTTCTTAATTTGCATCATTACTAACACCAAGCTTTTCATCTAATGCAAGGTGACTTGACGTCCACTCATGGCAGGACAGTCCCGATTCTTAAGAAGTCTTGATTTTCGGACAGAAACAATGCGCAAGCTAGGAAACGAGCTGCGATGTAGCTATTTCGCCAGGATATGAGTTTTTTATTATTTTATGTCAAAGTTTAATAATAACGAAGAATTGTTGAGAACTGTTTATTAGGGGTGCCCAGAAGGGGGCTTCATGGCGCAAGTTGTGCCATCAAAATTTATGAGTAGGGCACATATTGACGGGGCTAGATATTTATTTGTCATGAACGGAAGTGCGAAAGTAAAACTAATTGTTAGTACATTAATTTATTTTTATTTGTTATATATAACAATATGATATTATAAGTACCATAAATATAACCCGTAAACATGAGACATTATACTATTGGCCGACTTCAAAGAATGTGAGGGGAGTGCCTGATATAATTTCGCCCTGAGCACCAAAATCTTACGCGAAGGGCCTGACGCCCATCACATCGGTTTGACTACTATATACAGACAAAATGGCGGCCTATGGCACAAGAAGTGACCAGGAAGAGGTTGAGTTGGGTGATTTTAATGGTGGAGGACTACATGAGACCTGCAAAGGCGCTTCAGAAGTGATTTCGATGCCAGCATCCCAGAGAAAGGCCGAAAATCCGGAGACTTTAATGGGGGTAGAGAAATGATCGAAGATTCTAACTGGCAAAAACGAGAGGAAAAGTAGTAGAAACCCTTGGGAAGATGAATCTACGGTGCGAGGACGTCAGGAGGAAGAGGGAGTGGTTGATGGCGAATCTGTGAAGCAGAAGCCCAAGGCACCTCAATAGGCTAAATCATGAGACGCCTGAGGATGATGTGAATCCTAGGAGTGACGGGCTTTGGGCCCAGTACATGCGGAGCTGAGGATGAGGCTAGTGACTTTGGAGAAGGTCGTCCTCAACTACCCTATTAAGGAAGAAATAGATGGCTTGATAATAATTAAAAACTTGAGTGCCTTCGTGAGATTACTGAGCAAGATTGATGAGGAGAGGTTAGATAAATCAATGCCAGGATGAAAATGGTCTCTGGCCTCGTTACTAGGACTGTTAAAGAGACTCTGAAAACACCGAATGTTTACACAATGACCACTGATAACATCCTACGAAATGGGGAGTCTATCGATAGCTACAGTAGTGTGCAAATCGGCTCTGTGATTTTATGTAATTTGAGTGGTGTAAATACATTATTGGATCATTATATTCGGTATAGTGGTGTATATTAATGTGTTAAAACTTTCTTTTAGTAGAAACAAAGAATTTTGTGAATAACAAGTGATATTTTTCAAATTATCAGTACAGTTGGGTGCTCCTGTCTTGAAACAGGAGTAGTACCAGTGCAAGCAGGCAGGCTACGCCACGGGAAAGTTATTTATCTACAGCCAACTCCTTGTTGACTCATATTTATTTCCCTGATCGTAATTAACCAAAATGAATGGTAATATAAATAATATTATGAATCCAATAAATGAGGACACTGTGACACTGCAGACAATAATAATCCGCAGCAACAACCATAAAACTAAAAGTATTAAAGAAGTGGTAGGAAAAATTACTAGTTTACTGGAAAATATTACATCAGAACTTAAATATGTAAGAAACAAAATTGATGAACTCGAAAAGATTAACTCCCAATTAGAAGAAAGGATAAAGAATATAGAGAAAAGAAGCAATAAAAAAAAAGTAATATTATTTAATTTACCTGAAAAAGAAGATAATAATTTGGAAAATGTAGTGGATGAAGTAAAAACAATATTATCTGGTATGGACATAAGGCTATCAGATGGTTTGATAAACAACTGCTATAGATTAAGAAAAAATCGATTTAACAAACCCAGGCCTATCGTAATTTCTCTTAACAGTTATATAATGAAGCAAACAATAATGAAAAAGGGAGACTTATTTAGAGAAAAAAAGATTCCTATAGCACATGACAAATCACCCGAGGAAAGAGACGATGGAAAACAAATATATTTATATCTTAACAGATTGCGATAGTTCTACAGTACTCTAACGTATAAAAACAAGTTATTCACAATGAGATGGAACACTTTTAACATCTCTGAGATCGGAAGTCTACTGGAAACACTCGAAGACAGTAAACGATCACCAGCGTCATCACCAGTTCAGGTAATCAAAAGAAAAAAAACTGAGCTGAAAAAGCGATCAATTTCGATTTCGAAAAATAAAATATTCAGATCTAAACTAGAGCGCAGGATAATGAATCATCAGGACGGATAGAATAGGTATCATATTTTATATTTGAACATTAATGGCTATACAAATTTTATACAACACGATGAATACATGGGCCAGTACGATATAATATGTCGATATAAAAGCCATTTAACTACTGAAATCAGAGCTAAGCCTAGTTGGATGTCAACGTATGGAATTGTTTACAGCCCAGCTGTTAGGAGGTATAAACACGGCAGAGCCTCTGGTTGCTTGGTTTGTTTTTTGATCAGGGTAAGTGCTCTGTAAGAACTTTATATAATAATAGAGACAATATTTTTTTGTTAATCTGTAAAAATAATTTAAAATTAATTATAAGCTTCGTTTATATTAATCCTGGATTAGATATTAATTTATTTTTAGAAAAAATGGAAATTATTATGGACGAGATCAGAGGAGAACATAAAAACATTCCGATTTATTTGGGAGGGGACTTTAATTCTAGAATAAGTAATTTAAATATATGCTCTCCAGAAATTGTTCATGACACTTCCCTCTTGACAAATCGAAAAAAATCAGATAGTTTAAAAAATTTAAGAGGGAAAATATTAACTGAATTTATGGAACTTAATTCTTTTATAGTGTTAAATGGCCGAACTCTCAGTGATCTAACTGATAATTATACTTACTGTAGCACTAATGAATCGAGTTTTGTCTGGTGTGGAATCGGTGGCTTAGAATTAGAATGTGATTTTAGAGTTTAACAAATATTTCCCAGTTCTGATCATTTCCCTTTAGAATTAAAAGTGTACTGTGGGTCTATCGTGAATAATAATAAAAAATAACACCTATACAAGAAACCTTATTAAATGGAATATAAATATATCAGAAATATTTATTGGTAGTTTACTGATCTCTCCATTAATCACTGTGGACTTTAAAAGCAGTACTGTTGAAGAACTATAAGAAAATGTTATATTTGCTGTTTTCAGAACCTCTAAAGAAATTAATATAATGATAAGTATAACTGAATTCAACAAACGGGGCATTAATAGAAATAAAGCTGGGTATGATAGTGAATGCAAGGCACTAAAGACTGAGCTGAAGAATTCTTTCTCTAAATGTAAGAAATAATTTTACGGGTGAATTCTTATTTGATTTCCTAAAATTGAAAAAATAATATAAACATTTTGTGAAAATGAAAAAACGAAAATACAATTTAAATGCAATTGATATTCTCGGAACAACTAAGGATAGTTCAACTTTTCAGAATGTTATAAAACGATTTAGGGGCAGCATCATTTTCAGACCGAGCATTTCTATAGAGGAGTGGGAGAAGTTTTTTAAAATGATGTATCCACCTAAATTGACATCAAATAATTTTTTTATCGATAGTCGACATCCATTATTAGATGGAGATATATCTTCTGAGGAAATAGGTAGGGCTCTAAACAAAGTTAAAAATGGCAAAAGCCCAGGGCTTGATGGTGTCCCATACGAAATATATAAGAATATTCCAGCTAATTGGTTTATTTATAAACAAAATGTATTCAATAAAATTCTGAAGAATGAGGAGATGCCTAAATCATGGGCTGAAATTTTGAGCATAATGATATTTAAGAAAGGGGACCGAGGAAACCCACTTAATTATCGAAACATATCTATGGCAAACTGTGCTTCCAAAATGTTTGTCCAAATCCTGTTGGAATGAACAACATCATGGACAGAAGAAACCGGAATTATACCTGAATGCCAATCAGGATTCAGAAATAGGAGAAGCTGCTTAGATAATGTTTTTGTCTTAAATGACGTTATCCAAAACAAATTTTTAAAAGAGAAGTCTAATCTTTTCGTTATTTTTGTTGACTTTCGTCGGGCTTTTGACTCCATAAATCACATCATACTATGTCACAAACTTTTTGCTATAGGTTCGAGTGGGAAAATAATTCGAGTTATGGGAAACATGTATAATAATGCGTACACACAAATAAAGGGAACCGCTGGAGGACTGTCGCAAAAGTTTAAAATTACCGAAGGTGTGCTACAAGGAGAGACACTGAGTCCCATGCTGTTTAATCTTTTCCTATCTGATATTGAGGAATACTTTGGCAAGTGTAACCTGTCTGGTATACCTATTAATGGATGTGTTGACATACTGTTGCTCTTGTTTGCAGATGACATGGCTATTTTTGCTGATTCCTATACCGACCTTAAAAAAAAAAATAATGCTTTAAATGTATACTGCAGAGACAATAAACTAATTATAAACATTGATAAAACGAAAATTTTGAATTTCGCTAGGGGGTGCCCAAAGAAATATAATAGTATATATTCGGATGGAGAACTGATTGTTAAGCAGTCCCTACACGGTAATTCATGAATGAACGTCACAAGAAGTTCCAAGATTACCCGCGATCGCTTTGATCATGAAGACCCTTACACGTTCAATCATTACTGATCATTACTTATTGTTGCTGATACCAATTTAGCTCAGTTGTAAACAAAGAAACAGCATAGATATGCTTATTTGGACACTGTCATTTATAATATTGGGCATCAAGAGAAAAACGGAGATAAAATAATTACTTCCTAGTGCCTGAAAATCGTTTAGACCAAAGTTTGAAAAATATAAGTCAACTACAAACTACTAAAAATTAATGACAAATAAACACAACAGTTAAAGATTTTTTTTCTATAAGTAAATTGTGAAGTTTCCACTTTTTTTTCTCTTCAATTTACCTACTTGACTATTTAAAGAAAAAATAGTTGAAAATGGTTAATAATAATATAGACTAGGGATATAAACAACTATTTACTCAATAACGAGACCTAGGTAAACTAACCTATCTAGTAGTAGTCTCATAGAAGGTTAGTCTCATAGAAAATCGTTTTGACAAAAGTTAGTAAAATTTAAGTCTACTACTTACAAAAATTAAGGAAAGGTCTCATAGAAGGTTAGTCTCATAGAAAATCGTTTTGACAAAAGTTAGTAAAATTTAAGTCTACTACTTACAAAAATTAAGGAAAGGTATTGCGAAAATAATAAATTTGTTGAGGAAAATGGGAAAAGAACTGATAAATATACAGAACGTTAGAGTTTTTTTTTTTCTAAAGTAAATTGTGAAGTTTCCTCATTTTTTTTTTTAATTTGTTGCCCACTTGACTATTTAAAAGAAATAGTTTAAGATGGTTTAAAATTATAAACAAGGGATATGAAAAATTATTTAACTATTTACATATAATGAAAATCAGAAATTTATAATGGTTGTGAGGCCTAGGTAACCTAACCTATCCAGTAGTATGGTTAGTCTCCCCACTACTTTTACCTCAGTCCCTCCTCCACTTCTCGTGAATGAACCTTTGATTTCCGGATGTTCGGAAATCCGCAGCGCACCACCATCAGTACTTCATTCACTACCTTACACGACAATTCGGAACGTCATTAGTGCAATTCCGATTGACCGTGTAGGATCCCCTATACAGTCAGTACACACAATTATTTGGGTGTTCACTTTTGTAGGTCTGGTTTGTTTTCGCAAGCAGTTCAGATGGCAATCTAAAAGTCAAACTCGACAATAGGTAGTGTAATAAACAATTGTTCTCAAGAAAAAACGTACTCCTGGAAATTGAGAGATAAGTTGAAAAATATTTAGTTGTAATATATTTTATGTAGTATAAAAAAGAGTTTATATTTCCATAAGGATAATAATGTTTGTTATTTTGTGATAGACTCCATTTGTATAGGGTTCTTCCCTTAAAACAAATAAAGATTGATTGATTGATTGATAACATCCTAAGAAACGCCGTTCCAAGATGCATGAAGGTTTGTTTTGATAAACAAATGGCCATGGCCATATCAAATGGTATTATCGGAATAATTTGTCATAGATTAAGTATATTTTATTGCATATCTGTACTATTTTCTATATATATGGCAGCCTGATTTCCCAAGAAATACAATCGCCTGTAAATTGTAAGTTTTTAAAAATATTAATTCGCTGAAATAAGTTATTTCCATGTTTTTCTAATGTCACTTTCATTCTGGAATATCAAATAATTATAACTTACAGGCAACGGTTGTTTTCTCTACATTATTTACATAAAAATGCTAAAAAGTGATATTTTTATGATATTGATATCATCTATAGCTTACGAAAAAAAATTACCCTAAAACATGATCTCGCAAAACATAAAAACTCATAAAATAAGTACATCACTTTAATTTATTTTTTCATAAATTAGAACATGTCAATAATTTAAAACGTATACATTGACACATAAATTTCTAAACTTGATATTTGTGTCGATAAGATTCTTCCATTATTATAAAAAACAGTCTTGAGTTCTAGTTGGATTTCCTGGGGGCCAATGAGTGACTTGAGCAACTCGATGGTGGCTTCCCCGTATTGTTTATTCAAGTTGAAATCACTGCGAGTTGCAGGTTTTACTCCAGCCGGAACGCGGGCCTGAAATAAATTGATGAAACATTTAGTACAAGATGAGAAGACTGTAAGAGTAATCAGCAAAATTGTGCCAGCCATTAAACATTTTGTAGAAATAAAACTGAGGCTCTATCAAAATTTGTGCATCCTAATAAAAAAAATCATAGATTTTTCCTTGGTGCATATAATCTTTCAGCACTGAATTTCCGTGTAAACCAATTTTTTTGTTTGTTCTTTTATTGAAATTTACGACTTAAAAAATAAATGCCATAAATATGTGATATCAAAATATGAAATGCGATGATGGATTTTGAAGGAAAAATAGTTCCTCTACAGAGATTGGTAGAACTTCAAAGAATATCCTATGGTGGGGTGTCTTTTCAGGCGGCTTAACAGGCGGAAATAGATTAGGAAGAAAGTTTATGATATAATGTATTTTCATGAACAAGGAGTTTGTAATTATAGGAGGTATATCTATATCATGCCAACTCTTTACCAAATGGAATTTTATTGTTTTTATGGTACTTCTGTTAATTATAGTAATTATTGGACAATTTACATCAATAAAGAGCCTGTATTAATGTAGAAAACATTAATTCAGAATTGGATACATGTTCCAAAGCTCTGACTATAAATATAAATATGTGGCCAATCATGAAAAATTAAATACGTTAAAATCTTTTTAAATTAAATTCTGGATCATCACTGAAATGCTATTATTTATTTGCCCTTTTGTCAAATCTCAAAAGAATGACTAATTCATTGAATTAATTCTTTTAATTATTAGATATTTTAAACTTCTAATGCGTCCTTTATAACTGTTAAATATATGCTTTAATATAAGCTTTCAAATTTTTTTTTGTCTTAACTTGAGGGATTTAAGTCCTATCTTTAGATGTTTTTGTTCAAATATTTCTATTATTCGCATCACTTGATTATTTTCTTGTATTACAACATGAAAATGTTTATTTCTTAAGGAATCTCTTATACATTTTTAATTCTAATAATCTATGTAGTTCTTATTGACTTAGAATTTTTATTTTAAATTTTTACGTAGTGATCTGAAATGTGGAAGAAAATGCAGTGCTAAAGTCTGGTAAGGATACAATTGGAGATTGATAAATTTGTTGAAAGATAAGATGGTTTATGATTGAAATATAATCATATATTTTTCTCTAAGACCTCTTCTTCTTCTTCTTCTTACATGGCTCTACAACCTGCGAAGGGTCATAACCGCCTGAAGTAAGGTCCGCCATTATTCTCGATTTCGAGCAGCCGCTCTCCAGTCCCGGATACCCAGAATGGTGCGTGCATCCTTATTCACCCCATCCACCCATCGCAGCCTGGGCCGTCCACCCCTTTTGGTGGTGTGAATTTCTTCTTCGAGGATCCTCTTTAGTATTAAGTCGGCATTCATCCTAACCACATGCCCAGCCCACCAGAGCCGGCCAACCCTGATGAAGCGCAAAACGTCGGAGTCCTTGTACAGCTCAGATATTTCGGCGTTTGTTCTAATCCGCCAGGCTAGCTCATGGACATCAAAAGTCGTTCCGAAAATTCTTCTTAATACCTTTCTTTCAAATTGGAGGAGTTGGTTTTTGTGGGTTCGTCACCATATACCATATACCATGACTGGTTAACCTTAAGCCCCATGTTTGCAGCTGTAGCTTGTAAGTCCTCAAACGCCCTGGCCATGGCTTTAAAACTTCTTCCAATGTTATCAATATCATCTGCATAGCCCAATATTTGGGCTGAACAATTGAGAATTGTTCTGCCCACTTGATTGCCTGACTCCTTACCGCGCCCTCAAGAGCAAAATTAAAGAGGAGGCACACAAGACTTCTCCCCCTGCCGTAGACCCCGGTCAACGCCCACTAAGCACCACACCGCTTCCATATTGTTTTTGACTGGTTAACCTTAAGCCCCATGTTTGCAGCTGTAGCTTGTAAGTCCTCAAACGCCCTGGCCATGGCTTTAAAACTTCTTCCAATGTTATCAATATCATCTGCATAGCCCAATATTTGGGCTGAACAATTGAGAATTGTTCTGCCCACTTGATTGCCTGACTCCTTACCGCGCCCTCAAGAGCAAAATTAAAGAGGAGGCACACAAGACTTCCCCCCCCTGCCGTAGACCCCGGTCAACGCCCACTAAGCACCACACCGCTTCCATTGTCTTTCTGATGAGTCTCACAAGCTTGGGTGGAACTTCCATATCGTATATAGCTTTGTAGAGTTCGTCCCTTATTACACTATCGTTGACAGCCGGAAAATCTATAAATAGGTGATGGGTTTGAATATGATAATCTCGGGTTCGTTCGAGCGGCAGCCTAAGGGAAAACATTTGGTCCGTTGTGCCCTTTCCTCTCATAAAGCCAGCCTGATATTTGCCAATCTCTCTCTCTGCATGGGGAAGTAGCCTGAGGAACAAAATTCTGGATAGCAGTTAGATGCCCCGGTAATTTCTGCAATCCAGGATGTCCCCTTTCCTGTGAATTGGGTAGATGATGGTCTTGTACCAATCCGCAGGAATTCCCTCACACATCCATAATAATGTTGTGAAGAGCTTTCACTGCCTCTTTCCCTCCATATATAAACAATTCTGATGGCAGTCCATCAGCTCATGGTGCCTTGTTGTTATTTAAGCATTCCATGGCTTCCTGAACCTCCTGAATGTCTGCAGGTTCATGGTATTCGGCTGGTATTGTAACATCCTGTGTGGGCTGATCCTCAATTCCGTCGTTCTGTATGCTCACAAAATGATTCCGTCATCGATCTAGAATACCCTGTTTTACATTCAGGAGAGTTGTGTCTTTGCAGGCAAAAAAATACGGCTTGAATGGTTTTATGAAGTTAGGTTCAGGTACTGTTATTTTATGTGGAGAGTATGCTGCGACAACTGTAAAAGAGAAAAGTGAGATTTGGATTGTTATTGCTGAGGTTTGTAGGAAATTATGAACTGGTAAAGGATAAAAGTGATGGGAGAGGGATTGATGGATGATTACAGCAGTTCCTGTATGTGCTGTTCCATAAGGGCGATCAGTTTGATAAATCTTGTAAACAGGTATGTTGAACTGTCGTTTGTTAGTTAATCGGGTCTCAGTTATTAGAGGTATGTCAATGTTATTGTCCTGTAGAAAAAAAGTTAGTTCTTTGATGTGTTTTCGAACACCATTCGCATTCCAGAGGAGAATGGAAAGTGATTTTGTTGAGGACATTTAAGGAATTCTTGGCGGAGGTATAAGATTAGCTATGACATTTGTAAGTAGAGAGATGAGCGGGGTGATGAGGGGTTTGATCTCGGAAAGGGATGATGTAAGGAAGCTGGTAAGGTCATTGGAATTGTTAGGGAGAGGAATGTGGGAAATTTGGTGAGGACTAGACTTTTGGGTATACTTATATTGGGGTGGTGGATCAATAGGTTGTTGTTAGGTTTGCGGCAGGACCTGAGGTTGAGTTGACTGTTCTATCTCTCCTCGCATTTCAGCATAGGGCACTTCATTGTTTACACGTCTTGAGGGTTGCCTTGGTGGTCTGAGATACCTGTAGGTTTCTTCCTGCCTGAATGCTGCCTGTGTTCTTGATTTTAAGATTTTATGCGTTTGGCATCCCTTGTAGTTTGCTGGGTGGTTGAGATGGCATAGTGCGCACACTTCAGGTGTTTGGCTAGACTTGTTGCATTCCTCAGTCCTGTGTTGCTGTCCGCACTTCAAACATCGAGGTAAGTGATGATAGTAGCTTCTTGTATGGCCATAAGATTGACAATTATGACATTGCAGTATTTTCATTTTGGTGTATGGTTTTTCAACCACTATACTGGTATAGTAAATGCGATTAAGATTATAAATATTTTCAACCCCTGGAGAGCGCTCTAAGTCCACAAAAAATAGTGGTAGTGCTGTTTTGTTATTTGTGCCCAATTGCTCTTTATTTTTTTTAATAAATATTAACAATTTGGCGGACATTGAAATAACATATATGTGGATATAACTTTTTATTTATCATGTTGTGTGTTGGCCAACGAGGCGTTTATTCTCTATTTTTCTTATTAATTGTTTTCTATAGTGATATTACGGCTATGACCTGGAAGTTGTATTTGTATTCTCATTTTTTATATTGGATTTGTGATAAAGTAAATTGCCTGAAGGAAGAATTATATTTATTTCACTTGTACCCCGTTATGAAAAAATGCCTTTGGTCTTCAACCAGGCCATTGACCATCTATACTGTGAATTTTTTGACCAAGAGATCTTAAGTAAATTTTGATATAGACAAAGAAGAGACCAAGGATATGTGATCCTCACAGGGTTCGCAGATGACCAGACTGTTTAAGCACATTACAAAGGTACTGCTGAAAAATAATCAGCAGCATCTGGATTACATTTACGGAAAATGTTTAAAGCAAATCCTTAGAAAAGTATAGGTATGCAAAATAGGCTGGCAATAAAGATGCTCTCCCTTGAGAACGGAGAATACATACTAACTAACATTGAAGCATGGAGACACTTTAGGATGCGCATTCTTGGCAGAGCTACAGTTAATTGAAGATTCGGTGACAAAGTTCAATGAAAATTTTAATAATCTCGCAATCTCTTGCTTGCTTAGACCAATAGAGAAGATTTTTTGGCAATCAATACCTGTGCCTGGGTATGACTTACTCTCTTCAAATTGTGCCCCTCACTATCCTACATCCTGACTTAGTAGAGGTCATTAACACCATGATTCGCAGGAGTGTCAAGGCCATTGTTGGATTTCCTGACTTGGAACATGTTATATGCTCCCAGGAGGTACCATGGATTAGTAATAATCTGCTGCCAATGGAAGGATCCTCCACAACACTTATCCAGAGCCCAGTGACTGTTTTATCTGCCGGATATCCTGTTCCAATCAATGTTCGATTTATTGGGTGAGATTGTTGAATATGCTGAGAGATTGAGCGTTGATCAGGGACACTGGAGTGTGAGAGCTCTACGGCAGTCACAATGAGAAAAATCGTTCAAAGAATGGGTCAACTGCAAGTGGCAAGGCATTGGAGTTTGTCATTTTAAAGAAACTCCGGATGTAAATATATACACCAACTAGCCATGTTATTGATTTTATATTCTTATTTGGGAATACTCGAAAATGTATCACGTGACGGAAAACATGTTTTATATTCATATTTTTATTAATTACTAATAATTTAATAATCAGAAAAATAAATTTTCATGTGCTTTGAATGTTAGAGAAATTCTTACAGACACACACGCACGCACGCCCTCGCACTCGCACTCACACATACACACTTGCGCGTTACTGGATCATAATTAATTGGTTAATAACGATTTCTGATATTTACAAGAAGGTTTAAAGTGGGTACCTGAGCCAGTTCAAGTGTGAAATCTGGTGCTGTGGTTGTCCAGCTACTTGAAATTGTAAATAATTTCAAACCATTTCTGGGAATGGTGAAATTGGATACCATACTTAAGTAATTATAGCTGTATGCTGTTGGTTGCCTTGTACATTCTAAGTCATCAGCTAAGCAGCGGGGGTCTTCTTTGTAACACCGACTGAAATCAAGACATGAAGTGATATTTAGTTTTTATATATAAATAGAAATAAAAAAATAACTTCATTCTGGGACAAGGTACCCTGAGAATAACAGAAGGCTACAGAACAAAAGAAACACTTCTGGCCAGAAGAACTACATTAAATAAAAAGAGTTATATTATATAAATTTAAAAAAAACATATGCCAACTTACAAAATACTTAGAGCTATATATAATAAATATAAGAAATGAAACAAAATAGTTGCTGCTTAGCAAAAAAAAAAAAAAATATATATATAAAAAGTATTAAAGAAAATAGGAAGAAAAGTAATAAATAAAAAATAAATTCCTCTAATAGATGAGTACCAAGTAAAAATAAATAAAGTAAAGTAAAATATAAAGACATAAAGATTTATGTATTCAATCTTAAGAAAAATTAAAACATTTATGATAAAAATAATAAGAAAATAAATAAATAAAACAACTTTATGAGCATAAAATTAGTGTAGAACAGAAACGACATGGTATAAATAATACATATACAATTTCATAAGTTCATGATATATACAATTCTTAAACAAGGCACTGAAACTTAACAAATGGTTAACCATTTACTGATTTTTTCGTAAGTAGGAATTAGAATAAGAAGGTTTTAAAGGTGGATAAGGAGGGAACATGACGGATTTTTAAAGGGAAGGAATTCCAGAAATTAGCGGAGCGGGCAACGAAGGAATCTTGAAAAGAGATAGATCTGTGAAAAAGGGTATAAAGGTCAGAAGGTTGGGATCTTGTGATAAGAGAGTGGACAGAAGACTTGGATTGGAGAATATCATAAGCACAGGAAGAGCGATGTCTGTTGATAATCTGATAAAGAAATGTGCCAAGGAAATATTGTCTACGAGAGAAAAGGAAGAGGAACTCAGCGGAAAAGGAACTCAGCGTAGTGTTGGGAGACACGGGAACATCTCGGAGTCCCTCCGACAAATCTGAAAAAGCTGTTATAAGTCTCTTCAATCTGTCGCTAAGACCCACCGAGAGACCTCCATACACCACATAGCCGTAGTCAAAGTTGAGAAAGGTGAGGGAAGAAACTAAGAATCTACGGTTAGATTCCGAAAGGAGATGGCGGTAGCGATGGATTAATTTGTGAGTGGAATTGATCGTCGAGCGGTTTGGGAAATGTGGTAATTCCAGTAAAGGGTTTGATCAATAGAAAGCCTAAGTTTTTACAGAGGAGTAGAAGGTAATAGGTTGGTCATTTAGGTATGGTGTGGGGAAAGTTGGAATTGAATCGAGGGGGCTTGTAACCAATGACAGTGCCCTTTGTTTCTGCAGCATTTAACCTTATTCGCTTATGCTTACCCAGGCAATGATTCGATCTAGGTCTTCTTGAATCTTGGCAAATGTAACAAATAATTCAGAAAGAGAGAATAATAAAAAGATTTGGGAATCGTCGGCATAAAGGGAATGCTTTCCATTGGAAAATGTTAAAGATTCATTTATAAAGATCATTCATATAGGCACTAAAAAGAAGAGAGAATCTGCAGATCTTTAATTTTTTGACACATCCAAGGAGCAGCCCAACGACGAATGGTAGAGGTTATATATATATATATATATATATATATATATATATATATATATATATATATATACATATATATATATATATGTCCACAGTAAGATTATTATTTATTTATCTCTGTGGGGTATGCAGACCTTGTAGATGTTTTGTCGTCTTAACCAGACTTCTCCATCTCTCTTTGTCTTGAGCTATTTATTTCCAGTTATATGCATACAGCTCTCCAGCCCCTTTGTTGATTCAATCTATCTATAGCATTTCCAAGTCAAATTCAACCTTTTCCAAGTCAAATTCAACCTTTTCCAAATCAAATTAAACTTTTTCCAAGTCAAATTCAACCTTTTCCATTTCAAATTCAACCTTTTCCATTTCAAATTCAACCTTTTTTTATTTATTTAATTATCTTTAATTTTTCGATGTGTGGGTCTGTTATCGTACGAGTAGTTTTTGAAAATAACCTCCATTTTAAGATTACGTGCTTGTGTTTCGAATTATTTAAGTTTTTTTGATTTATTCGATGTAAGGGTGTATATTTATGTTTCCCGATATGTGAATTTTGAAAATGACATCTATTTTATGTTTACGCCACTGTGTTTTGACTTATTTAAGTTTTTAGAATTTTTTTCATATGAGGGTGTATTCTTATGTTTCCGGAGCCGTAGATTTTGAAAACGACCTCCATTTTAAGATTAGGCCACCGCGTTTCGATTTCTTGGAGTTTTTAGAATTTTTTTCATATGAGGGTGTATTCTTATGTTTCCGGAGCCGTAGATTTTGAAAACGACCTCCATTTTAAGATTAGGCCACCGCGTTTCGATTTCTTTGAGTTTTTCGGATTTTTTTTCATAGGAGAGTGTATTCTTATGTTTCCGGAGCCGTAGATTTAAAAAAACGATCTCCATTTTAAGAATAGGCCACCACGTTTTGACTTATTTGAGTTTTTCGGATTTTTTTCATATGAGGGTGTATTCTTATGTTTCCGGAGCCTTGGATTTTGAAAACGACCTCCATTTTAAGATTAGGCCACCGCGCTTCGATTTCTTTAAGTGTTTCGAATTTTTATCATAAAAGAGTCGTAGATTTTTTAAATGGCTTCCATTTTAAGATTACGCCACAACTTTAACTTATTCAAGTTTTTCGAATTTATCCAATTTAAAGGTCTACTTTTATAATTACGGAACCTTAGTTATTAAATCGACCTACATTTTATGATTAGGCCACTGTGTTTTAACTTATTTAAGTTTTTCGAATTTATCAAATATAAAGGTCTACTTTTATGTTTCTGGAGCAGTAGATTTCCCCCATTTTGTAAATGACTCAATTTCAAGTTTATGCCACTGTGTTTTGGATTATAAAATTTTTTTTTTTTACTTTTTCGGTATAAGGATCTACTTATATGCTCTCTGAGACGTATTGAAAAATTTCTAATCTTTAATATTTAAATTTATCTAATATTTAATCTCCATTTTATGATTAAGCCACTGCACCTCGATTAATTAGGCTTCATTTTGGATTTTTTCAATACAAAGTTTCATCAATATGTTTTCGATTATGAATAAATAAATAAATAAATATTATGAAGCTAAAGTTAAATTAACCACAGAATACAAACTAAAAAGCCGAAAAGCAACTGGTAATAAATTTAACCTACCGTATTCAGATTTTTCAGCTAATTGTTCGAAATCTTATAATTTTGTTACAGGAGACCACAACATTAAAAAAGATAACTAAAATTAAATTAAAAATGAGACAATACATATTTTATTTATTTCACTCATTTATGGAAAAATAAATCTATCCTTCGTATTTTGTTTTTTATTCGAAGGAAAAATCAAAAACACTTAAAAAAACCTAATCTGGCCTAATCTTAAAATGTAAGTCGTTTTAAAACTAAGGTTCCGACATCATAAAAGTAGACCTTTTAATTGGCTAAATTGGAAAAATTTGAATAAGTCGAAACGTAGTGGCGTAATCTTAAAATGGAGGCCGTTTTCAAAATCTACGACCCCGGAAACATAAGAATACACTCTTTTATGAAAAAAATCTTAAAAACTCGAAGAATTCGAAACGCGGTGGCCTAATCTTAAAATGGAGGTCTTTTTAAAAATCTACGGCTCCGGAAACATAAGAATACACCCTCATATAAAAAAAATTCGAAAAACTCAAATAAGTCGAAACGCGGTGGCCTAATCTTAAAATGAAGGTCGTTTTCAAAATTTACGGCTCCGGAAACATAACAATACACCCTCATATGAAAAAAATCCGAAAAACTTAAAGAAATCGAAACGCGGTGGCCTAATCTTAAAAAGGAGGTCGTTTTCAAAATTTACGGCTCCGGAAAAATAAAAGTAGACCTTTATATTGGATAAATTCTAAAAACTTAAATAAGTCGAAACGCCGTGGCGTAATCTTAAAATGGAGGTTATTTTAAAAACTAGGTACAGGATAGCATAATACTAGTCCCTAATAAATCCGAATAGGTACAATAAATCGATATCCATAAGTGAAAATTCTACTTAGGAGAGCATAATAATAGACTTTCATATTGGAGAGGGGAAGGGGATGGCCATTATTTAAAAAAAAGTATAAAATTTACAAAAAATTAAAACATTAATTTGAAATGAAAACGGTTGAATTTGAATTGGAAAATGTTTAATTTGAAATGGAAATGGTTGAATTTGACTTGGAAAAAGTTTAATTTGATCTGGAAAAGGTTGAATTTGACTTGGAAAAGGTTGAATTTGACTTGGAAATAATTGAATATGACATAGAAATATTACACTGAAAAAATCTAAAATGTTAAAATAAATGGATATGCAACCGCGTTATCAAATATTTTTCAAAAGCTATGCCTTCGATAATATAGTAAGTGGCCTTCATTTCGAAAAAAATCGAAAATTGACAAAAATTCGAAAGTTGAATTTGAAATGGAAAAGGTTGAATTTGACTTGGAAAAGGTTGAATTTGAAATGGAAAAGGTTTAATTTGACTTGGAAAAGGTTGAATTTGATTTGGAAAAGGTTGAAATTTACTTGGAAATGCTATATATGCTTTTTGGCCTTCTATGTGGTTTCTTGCTTATCATTGAGGCATTCATTGTTGTGAGGAGGCTTTCTGAAGAATCGCTCCGAGTTAAATGCCCCATCCGCTTTAACCTCCTTGCTTCATATCATAACTATAAGGTATATATACCAATTCTGAAGGCTCATACCTTCGTTGGTATCTCTTCTCCCCACAAAGTGTAGAGATTATCTCTGTGATTTTGGCTACCACCTGCAAGATTTTAAGGCTCGTCCCTTAGCTCACCGACCGAGAGTTTGGGAGGTTATCCTCCAGATACTTGAGGTCTTCCTTTTTTTGGCCTCTTCATCCATTTACTCCCTCTTTCCTCTTTGAACATGCTCTGTCAAGGCCTTCTGATTTCTCTATTAATCGACCTCAACATATTCATTTATTATCAACAAATATAAAGTTTATAATAGTAAACAATGAAATAATATAAAATGATAATTAAATTCAGTTGTTTACAGTTACTTATTAAAATAGATTCAGGATTAAAAGAAATGGAAGATAAAAGATGGACGAAAATTGAGATTTAAATGAAGAAAGAGAGGGGAGCATTGCTGGAACAGCATTTCATGTGTAGTTCATACATTTGTATATGATAAGAAATACAAATTTATATTTCAATATTTTAAGGTGTATCTAAAGTAAAAATAATAGATGAATCAATATATTACTTTCTCTTAGCTCCATCTTTTCTATAACCTGGTGGGCAGTTGATAGGATTACACCTGTAGGATCCTGCGATGTTTACGCAAACATCTTCATCATTACATACCGGGTCAGAGCCTTGGCATTCGTTAATATCTAAGCAAAAAAAAATCAGTTTGATAAACAATATAATAATAATAAATAATAAAACAAAGACCAATTACAAAGTATGCTTGAAGCCGTTTCCTCTTTTACTAGTGACATTGGCATGTCACTTGGTTTTGATAAATGTGAGGTGCTCCATGTAACCAAAGGAAAAGTGATTAGTACGCAGAATATTCTCATCAATGAAAAAGAGTACAACAAGGAGCTTGAAGACAAAAAAATATTTAAATATCTGGCCATGCAACAACACCTTAAAACTGCATGAAAAGACGTTCAACATGATCTCCTAACGATGTTCAAAATTAGGTTACGCAAAGTGCTCAAGATCCAGCTAACTGGGAAACAAAACATCAAGGCCATCAACACCTGGCTTATACCTGCTCTCAGTTATAGCTTCGGCATATTGCAGTGGTCAAACATCAGTCTACAGGAGATAGATCGTCTTGTGCGAACGAATCTCACACAAGAATGGGCCATTCACCCAATATCCTTCCAAGCATGTCTGTATTTACCTTGAAAAGAAGGAGGGCCTGGTTTACTAAATATCGACAAGGTTGCCGCAAGCAGGAAGTGGTCCTACGCCGATATATTCTCACAAAAACTACAGAGATTTATCTCGCAATCTCAAGAATGGATTCTGTTCCAACCACGGGCGGATCTACGGGGGGGGGGGAGCTTTCGGGCTGAAGCCCCCCCCAAAATGGTATGTAACTATGTTTTCTGGGAATTTTTTTTAAAAAAAATACCTTTTAAAGTATTATTATTCGTTTAAGCACATTTAAAAGGACTTAAGGAACCACTTAAACACCATTTCATATAGGTAGTTAGTTTCTTTCTGTTTTTCCAAAGTAATTATCGTTATTTTTATGAAAAAAAAGGTTTCGGGCTGAAGCCCCCCCCCCAAAATTAAATCCTGGATCCGCTAGTGGTTCCAACCGTACTAAATCTGAGCAAACTTGATTACTCTACAATTGTGTCAGAAAATGAACGGTTGGCAGAATGGAAAACCAAATCTGTGCATGGAAGATTCTTCAGAAAATATCAGTTGAATGATTAAAAACTGGAAAGATATTCTCTGAGACAGTATATTCTTAATCGCATTCAAGACCAAGTTATTGCGACTAAATCATATAGAAGGCTGTTCTAAAAGACGCAACAACTACTGATAAATGTCGATTGTGCTCAGCGACGCTCGAATCAATCCAACATATCAAAGAGGGGTTTGGAGTGTTAGCTATTACTAAATATCTCGAGAAGCATAACAATGTGGCCTTAGTAGTAAGCTCAACTTACTTCATAATAATACTTCATATTATAAGTACCACCCAAATAGATTCCTGCAAAAAGGTAGTCTCAAGCTCTATTGGGATGAATCCATTATTACTGACCATACTATGCCTCATAATAAGTCAGATATATTCCTTATAGATATGAGATTAGACCAAGATCCATATTCCTTATTGATCAGACCAAGCTCGAAAATATGACATCAAATTAGTCATGAAAGACTTCAATGCCAAGACAGGTCGAGAAACCAAAAAATTTAAACCAATCATGGTAAGTTTACAAGAAACTAGCAATGACAATGAAGTGAGATGTATTAGTCTGGCAGCAGCTAAAGGTCTAGTAGTAAGCAGTGCGATGTTCCTGCACAAGGACAAACATAACTATACCTGGGTAAGTCCTAAAGTAGCAAAAAGCCAAATCGACCATGTGCTGAAAGACAAGAGACATCAAAGCTCCATACAAGACATAAGAATTATCGTGAAGCGGACTATGATTCGGACCATACTCTGATTAGAATCAAACTCTGTCAGAGGCTGAAGCGAATCCACCGAATTGGGGACCAAGTGGATAGAAAGAGGTACGAAGCCTGTAATTTGAAAAATCCTATAGTACAAGCTGAATTTCAAACTGAGCTGAAAAATAAATTCGAACCCCTGAATTCGGAAGGCCTCACGGTTGACCAACACTGGGAGGCAGTAGAGCCGGGGCTAAGAAAAACAGCTAAGCAAGTAATAGGGATTCAGGAAAAAAGAAAAGCTAAGAAATGGTTCACATAAGCATGCGAAAAGGCAGCGGAGGAAAGAAGAAAAGTCCTGTGCTTACAAACTGATTAGGCTAAGCTGGACAAATACACAGCCACCAGGAAAAAGACAAACAAAATAATAAGAACAGCCAAAAGAGAATTCCTCAAAGAAGGATTATAAACTATTGAGAAAAACTGAAGGAGCTCGGAGATGTATGAGGGACGATATTCTTCCTCTCAGTACTCCCTCCAAAATTTTATTTTATTTTTACATTGCCTTTTCTGTGACAACTTTCTTATTTATCTTTAATTTAATTTATTTTTCGGTTTCTTTAATCTCACGTTTCAAGTAAATCAGTAATGTTCCATTATTATAAATAAACGTAAAACGTGAGATTATAGACAACGAAAATTGAATTAAAGAGACATGTTTAGGCAACATTTCTAATTATAACAAAATAACTCTCATGTGTTTCAATAAGGCAACATTCAAAATTTTGGAGGCAACATTCTAATTTTTTTTTTATTTCTTTTTTTTTATTTTTTATTTCTTTATTGAACCGTGGTTTGATGAAGATTGCTTAAAAATGTGCGAAAAAAGAAAAGCCGCTAAATTAAAAGCTCTAAATAATCCTAGCGAAGACAATATAGAATACTTCCGAACCTCGAAGAACGAAACGACAAAATTGCTCAAAAATAAAAAAAGGGAGTATCTTAAAAATAAAATAATTGAAATAGAAACTAATAGAATCGAAAATAACGTAAGAGACATGTTCAAAGGTATAAACAGATCACGTAAATGTGTAGGGCCCGTAACGTCTGGAATTAGGGATGATAATAACAATATTCTGACCGATCCGGTTGACATATTGAATAAGTTTAAGGACCACTTTGACAATATTTTAAATACGGGAAATTATGATCTGTGTCCTCCTTCTGAGTACCAGAGTGCTGAACCGTTAATAGAAGGACCAAGTAAAGAGGAAGTTGAAGTAGCTATCGGAAAATTAAAATCATATAAAGCAGCGGGAATCGATAATATTCCTACTGAACTAATTAAGGCATGCGGGGAAGCTGGAGTTTCTAAAATACATCGGTTGGTTAAAAAGATCTGGGTGAACGAGAAATTACCTGAAGAATGGAAAGAATCTATTCTTATTCCGATTCACAAAAAGGGTCCGAGGACGGATTGTAATAACTATCGAGGAATTTCACTCCTTCCGGTATGTTATAAAATATTCACTTTAATCTTAACCAGTCGAATCACGGAATACGCCGAGGAAATTATCGGAGACTACCAATGCGGATTTAGACGGAATCGTTCGACTATTGATCAAATATTTTCTTTACGGCAAATATTAGAGAAAAAATTGGAGTATAACGGTATTGTTCACCAGCTGTATATAGATTTTAAAAAGGCTTACGATTCTATTGACCGCCAGAAACTGTATAATATTCTAATCGAGCAGGGGATTCCAAAAAAACTAGTAAATCTAGTCAGGATGTGCTTGACGGAGACACTCAATAAAGTTAGAATCGGTAATAATTTGTCCGAAAAATTTGAGGTTCGTTCGGGCTTAAAACAGGGGGATTCTCTTTCGCCTGTCCTGTTCAATTTGGCATTAGAACATGCCATTAGGGAGGTAATGCGAACCGAGAAAGGGTTGGATCTGGGCGGGACAACATCCGTGCTGGGCTATGCTGATGATCTGGTACTGTTAAGCGAAGACGTTGAAACTATAAAACTAAATACGACAACGTTAATGAAAGCCGGTAAAGAACTAGGACTCGAAATAAACGTGGATAAAACAAAATATATGGTTAGCTGCAAAAATGGCGATACTACTGGTGATATCGATATAGATGGTAATATGTTTGAACAGGTAGATAAATTTAGGTATCTAGGTTCTACGATAACTAGAAAAAACGAAATTGAAGAAGAGATTAAGGTTAGACTGAAGGCGGGGAATGCTTGTTATTTTTCTGTGACAAAACTACTTAGTTCGCGCCTCTTGTCCCGAAACTTAAAAATTAGAATCTATAAAACAATTATCTTGCCTACAGTTCTTTATGGATGCGAAACTTCGTCTTAAGGTTTTTGAAAATAAAGTATTGCGTAGAATATTCGGACCGAAGAAGGATGAGTTAACCGGAGAGTTCAGACGGTTACACAACGCCGAATTGCGTGAGCTGTATCCGGGTAATATAATTGAGGTAATTTCATCGCGGCGAATCAAATGGGCTTGTAAAGTTGTTGGGCTTAGTAACGAGAGAATTCCTAAAAGGTTAATATGTGCTGTGCCGAATGGTAAGCGTCCGAGGGGTAGACCGAAGCGAAGGTGGGAAGATTGCATTAAAGCCGATCTGAAGGGACTGGGTTTGGACGGCGAACGGTGGAGGGAGGTGTGTAACAAGCGATTGGTGGTGTCGGCATCGAACCTTCGGGTTCGCTAAGCCTTTTATTATTATTATTATTTCTTTATTGAGTATTATAACAATCTGTCTCTTGGACATGGTTATAGTGAGGTATGATGACATTCACACTATATGTACAAAAAAATAAAATAAATAGAAACAAAATAAGAATAAAACGTCTAATTTTAAAGCAGTGGACTGTTTCTTAAGGCATTGGTAGGTTAATGATTGTGCAAAAAAAAAAAACTAGCTTACCGTCTATATGCCAGCCTACATCTTTTTTACCTGGAGGACCCTCCGTACGTGACTTCTTGTGCTGGAGGTGGTGCTTAACCAGTGAATGCCGATCTAATGGGGTGAAACAACCAATCGTTCTCAAGGCTTAAGCGTTATCTTTTATCTTTTAGATCTGTCCCCACCACTCGCCGTAACGCGGGAAAATTTAAATGAAAACCATTCTTTGGCACAACCAAGATAGTATAATATACTATAGTATAATCTAAGGATAATACAGTATAAAATTAAGAAAATAGTATAATACAGAGATAATAAATATTATCTATAATATCTAATTTTACATTCACTGTCTTTGGTTGAAGTTGGATATAGAGGGTTTCAGAGATGAGTCGTTTGTCATGGTTAGGAACGGAGGCAAGGATGGAAGTTTTGTCAATTTGTTTGAAATCAAAAGTATGGTTTAGAGCGAGGGAGTTTTCGGATAATTTGGAGGCTGTAAAGTTACGAGAGGATACAGAATATTTGTGTTGGGTGATGCGGTATTTTTTATAAGATTTATGGTTTCATACAAAAACATAACTTTGTTTATGCTGTCAGAAAGATTAGGGATATAAGTTAGAGATCTGTATATGGAAGTTGAAATGGGTTATGCAGAAACACTGGAGATCGAGATTGAGAAGGGGCGATTTGTGTGGTCTTTTATAAGTTTGTTGATGATATAAATGAATGAAATGACTGAAAAGAGAATATTAAGGCACGATCCCATCATGGAAGGGGAACAACTATGCACTGGACTGTGCCAGAGGAAAATCCTGTATTTATTGTTCCTAGAAATAAATACATACCCTAAAGCATGTATAAAATAAAGAACAATAACAAATAGAAAGATTATGATTGGTGGCAGTGCCATGCGCACTACCCCACTGCTACTGAGAACTCCGTCTGCCAAAAATGGCCAGGGAAAGGGAATAAAAAAAAAAAAAGGCTCGGTGGGCGCTAGTATATAAATTCGAAGAAACGGGTTTTGCGGGAATAAAAAGAGGATTTGAATTGGAGGAACTCGAAGATGTATGAAGGACGGTGGGTTTGGATGACTTGGAAGAGTAAGGATGCCAGGAAATACTTACGTTGGTAGGAAGGATAAAGCCACTTCAACTCTTCATAAAAACGGGAAGCAGAAGCGTCCCTTGGGATCCTGAAGATGAATTGTACAAGCAATACATCAAACGTTTTAGTTTCGCCTCGAGATTCTTAGAGAAGCCGCGATTTACCGTGCAGCAATAATCAAAATGGGGAAATATTAAGGAAGTGACTAGGAGCCTATGGGATTCAAATATAATAGGGGACGGAGGTAATTTCGACGTTTCCAGGTGAAAAAGGAACTGCGGGAGATATTGGATACATGGGTTTTCCAGAAAAGTGTTTGACCAAAGGTTATTCCTATCAGGTAAGAACAGGGTCAGAATATTAGGAACAGTTTTAAGGGAACGATTGAAGCCTATTACGATCACCTTACTTTTTTTCGCAGTCAACTTTAACTTGCTTGCTTTCGCCCAGTCATAAATCCTATCCGTCTTCTTGAAGTTTTTTTGTGGCTGATAATAGATCAGAAGGCATGGAGGACATGTATATTAGGAAATATTCTGCATAGATGCGGCATTGTTAGTGGCAGATCAGGAAAGGAAGGTAATTAAAGTAAATAGCAAACAGAGTAGAGGTTAGAGAAACCTCGAGGAACACCATAGGAGAGGGGGAGGATCTTAGATGGAGGTTAATCTGGGACGACTACATACTGGGACCAATTTGAGTGGAAGGATTTGAACCAACGCAGGGCATTGTTGGATAGAGGAAGTTTATATAATTTAGTAAAGAGGATGTTATGGTCAACTGTGTCAAACGCTTTGGAAAAATCTAGAAAAATGAAGATGGTGTCCAATAGAGTTTGGGAGATCAAGGGTTGTTTTAAGAAGAACGGATTAAGTTGAGTAGCCACGTCGAAAGTCAGATTGGAATGGGTTGTTAAGGGAACGTTCCTCTAGGAAGTTGGCAAGTTGATTTTGGACAAGGCGTTCTTCCGGATTTGAAAGTTTGGATAGGAAAGAAACAGGACGGAAGTCGTGCAGTGAGGTAGGGTTGGAAATTTTATTCAAAGGTCGGACTAGGGCAGTTTTCCAGAAAGATGGATATACATTATTATACATGGATATACATACACATTATGTAGTATAAAGACTTTTATAAGCTGTACTTCAGCTCTATGTAGTTTTCTATAATAGTTGAAAATAAATAAGGCAGTCAAATGCATGGAGGATTACTCCAATTTAAAGTTTCTGAACATTTTGTACTACAAAATAGTTTGCATTTCTACTTTAAAAGGTACATGTACAAATTTTCACGATATGATTCCATATGTAAACGTGCTTTTTTTTTTTTAGTATTAATTAAAGTAAAACTGTTGTTAAACACACACACACACACACACACACACACACACACACACACACACACACACACACACACATATACATACATATATTGGACTATAAGAGGTAAATAAAAAATGTCACCATGTTTTTCTGAATGTACAATGATTCAGAAATATATATATATATATATATATATATATATATATATATATATATATATATATATATATTATATATATATATATATATATTATATATATATATATATATATAATATATATATATATATATATATATATATTATATATATATATATATATATATATATATATATATATATATATATATATATATTTCCTCAGTTATTTATCAAAATCTTTCTAACCATCTCTATTTTGATTCTTTTTTATTTAAATATACCGACGCCAATCGAAGAATCATTAAATGTACACTAGTTTCAGATAACTTAGGAAGAAAATACCTTGGCATAATTGATTCTTGAAGCCAATGGTTCTGTATCCAGGCGGACAAGAACAGGTGTAGGACCCCTGCTGGTTGATACAGTACGCTTGACATCTCTGAGGGCCATCTTCACACTCGTTGATGTCTATGCATGTCCTAGTAGGTGTCATGAGTATTTTTACTTGAATTAAAATTGGTTCAAAATTAATATTTTCTTAATAATTCATACTCACCTATTATCGAAATTGAGTTTAAAACCAGGCTTGCACCGGCATCTATACGTACCCCACCGGTTGTCACAATAATGACTACACAATCCTTGTTGCTCAGCGCATTCATCAATATCTGAAAGTCAGAATTTGGATTAAGTTAGAGAGTAGTTTGAATTTTCTTGATGTTTATAAAAAAAATTATTATGGTTATATTAATACAGATCATCATTTATCGCTAAACATTTTAGATTAAAAAAAAAATGCATCTAATTAAATATGAGACATTATTGTTTTTACCAGAAACGTTTCAATGAATTACTTTAACATCACCTATTGCCTAGGCACCATAGTTGATGTTTTACTTAATTCCACCCCTTGTAACAAGGTGAAGTATACACAGAAATATAGTAAAATGGCGTTATTATAACATTTTGATACCTTTTTAGCGACATTTTAAGGGTAAATGTAATGTTCGCTTTTAATTACATAGTTAATAAAAAATTGTATTATAAATCTATGAAATCAATTTTCAATATTTACTCCTGGAATATTCAAAACTTTATTATATAAACGTACGCGTAAGCACAGTGGCGTATGATTTTAGAAGCCCATGGCAGCCAAATTTTGAGGCCTTTTAAGCTTAATTTAGTACATAAACCAAGTGACGTCATGCAAAACCACTTTTTACTAAAATACCTTATAATAGACGTACCTTTAGATTTGACACACAATAAGGACAATTTCACATTGTTTCCAATATTATTTCAATGATTACTTTACCAAGAGATAACAACAGGCAGGGTGAGTGTTCAACCTGTCCGTTTGTTTGTATGAAACCATTTTTTCCAGCAAATGGCTCTACCGAAATCCAGGTTTGCCAAATCAATTTACTGAAATTTAGTGAATGTTTTTGAAACAGTTTGCCACTTCATCATCATCATCATCAATCGACCCTACAACCTATCACTAGGCCCTGGCCTTGTCAAGCTGCTTTCGCCAATTAATACGGCCAAGTGCTGTTGTCCCCCAGCTTTTTGAATACCAAGCAAGTTTATCGAATCTTTATTTACGCCATCAGTGCATTGTAATTTGAGGCAGCCTCTTGCTCGTTTTCCATGTTATTCTTCATCTAGGAGTTTCCTAGGAATTTCATGTGCATCCATCCTGGCTACATGACCTGTCCATCGAAGCCTGCCAAGCTTTTTCATTCTACACCTGTTTTCTTCAATGGGCAGTAAAGTTTGCTGTTTTTTCGCCTTATCCATGTTTTGTTCTCTCTTAGTGGACTATAAATACATCGCAAAATCTTTCTTTCAAATATAGAAAGGTTTCGCTCATCACTTTTAGAAGAAGCCCATGTTTCCGATCCGAAGGCCGATGAACGGAGGCGCATGAACCTCCCCTAACCTTCCAAAATATTTTATTGCTCTCCTCTTTTTAACAGCAGTGCAAGCTAAAGTAGAATTTTTAAAATCATAGGTCATATACAATTACACTTTCAGTGGTCTATTCTATGCTTTCCTCTTGTTCCCTGGTTTGAAACTTTTCATTTCGAAAATTCATAACCCCGTTGAAAAGTGCCTCCTTAAAAATACAAAACTACGTCAAAATGTGCCCACTCCCCCTCAAAAACGTTGATGGCTAATGTCTAATATCTTCTTGATGAGGGTCTAATATCTTCTTATTTTAGTAGTTATGGAAAATAAACTGCTTCCTAGCTGTCGGTGAAGTCCAAAATAGCATCTATTAGCAAATCCTATTCTTCTTCTTATTTCATCGAAATATTATTTCCGTTTAGCTTATTGTCATTTATTAAACATGTTACTTTAGATCTTGGAAAAATGCTACAGAATAGGCACATTTAGATGTTTTATTGACATAAACATGGTAAAGTCCAACCAAATTAATAAAATTAACTTCACAATACATTGAAGGCATTCTCAAGAAAGATAGTGATAGGATCTCAACTTGGAATGGAAGAGTTGTATAGTAAAGACAATCTATACAATGTCACTAATTTTTTAAAATAAAAAATCTAATATGTCCTCTCACACTACTTTCCTATCGGTTTTAAACATTTTTTTATTATTTTAAATATGTCAATTAAAAATTACACAATTGAGTTAGACTAATTTCCATGATAACCGATTAGAGAAATCATAAGAGTACGATTTCATTGATGAACTAAAACAATGTAAACGAGTATGTGGATAATTATTAAAATCAGTGTATAAAATTTAGTACAATTTTTATAGTTTTGTCGAAAATTTAATAACCTTAAAAAAAATGTCACCACTGCATACTGTTTTATTACTGTATACTAATAATAAGAGATATTACTGTCATTTTTCAGAATGGGGAAACATAACTTAACCCCGAATGAAAAATTGGAAGATTTAAAATGCAAAATTGGTTCTATCAATTCTTTATATATAGTAACTAAAATTGTCTAATAATTATTAGTATTAGTAGTAATTATTTTGCCTTAATTTTTATTAAGAATTAGCCACCTTCAGATCCCAATCATTCAATTCCTACCTCACCACACTCTCTGCTCATGATAATTCCCTTTGGAATATCACCAGAAAAATCCTCAAATCCCATCATATTTCCCACCCTTTTCGACGAGATGATGGCTCCTGGGCAGCATCTGATGAAGATAAAGCCGAGGAATTTGCCAAACACCTTTCCTATACTTTCGCTCCACATCCAGAATCCCATCCCAGCCACACAGTAAAAGTAGAAGAATCCCTCTCAATACCTATCCCACTCTCCTTACCACCTAAAGCTGTTAATCCCTCTGAGGTCAAATACCTTTTACGGAAAATCACACCTCGCAAATCTCCTGGATATGACCTTCTAACCCCACAGATCCTTCGACAACTTCCATCTAAAGCCATCATATTTCTTACATATATATACAATTGCATCCTAAGAACTACCCACTTCCCTCTTTTATGGAAACATTCCACCATCGTCCTCTTCCTGAAACCAGGCAAACCTTCCAACAATACAGCATCCTATAGACCAATTAGCCTACTCCCAATCCTCTCAAAAATTTTTGAAAAGATCCTACTGAAACGAATCCTACCTATAATTGAATCCTATAACCTTCCTACTCATCAATTCGGATTTCGTTCCCAACATTCCACTGTCCAGCAAGGACTCCGAGTTGTTGACCATATATCCTCAACCCTAGAAAGCAAGCAGTATTGCTCGGGTGCATTTCTGGACATAGCGCAAGCTTTTGACCGGGTATGGCACGCCGGATTACTCTTCAAGCTTAAAATCCATCTACCACAGTCCTTATACCTAGTACTCCGATCCTATATTTCCGACCGCTCCTTCCGAGTTCGCTGTGGCACCGAATTCTCCGACTGTTACTCAATTGAGGCTGGCGTTCCTCAAGGCAGCGTCTTGGGCCCCATCCTTTACATTCTCTTTACCGCTGATATTCCTGTCCATCCCGATACCCTCCTGGCAACTTTCGCTGATGACACTGCTATCCTTTCTTCCAACTCAGATCCTGAAACAGCGTCCGCAAACTTACAAAGGCACCTCTTCCTGATTGAACACTGGTGTAAGAAATGGCGCATTAAGGTAAACGAATCTAAATGTAAACACATTACCTTCACCCTTCGGCGTAATACCTGCCCACCAGTTTATTTTAACTCCATCCAGCTTCCTTTCTCAGATACAGTCCGGTATCTCGGCTTTCTCTTAGACAGACGACTAACATGGAATCCACATACTCGACTTAAAAGACAGGAACTTAACAGACGATATGGCCAGCTATATAGACTACTGAATAGAAAATCTAAACTTTCTGGTGAAAACAAATTACTGATCTACAAGACAATACTGAAACCCATCTGGACTTACGGACTAGAACTATGGGGAACAGCCAAATTTTCTAACATCAAACGCATTCAATCCTTTCAGTCTAAAGTCCTCCGTACAATAGTCAATGCTCCCTTCTATGTAACCAATAAAACCCTACATCATGATCTTAATATCCCATTTATTCTTGATCTTATCCCAGCCAAATTTTCCAAATTTCACCAGAACCTTTCTCATCACCCAAATCCCGTTGTACAATCCCTATCAAGCACCACCCATCCCTACAATCCCCTTCGTAGGTTAAAGCGGCAGTGGCCACGAGACCTTTTGTAAATATGGATATTTTGGAGTTCTAGCAATGGCCAGATTCTCCACTCAAGTCATGAGTGTCTGTGGCTGTAGCGCTCTTACTCATCCTCCGCTGGTTTAAAATACCAGTGAAGTGGCTGAGGGAGAAGCGTAGGGATCTCCTAAGCCTCCCTTTCCCCTCCACATGTGGAGGGGAAAGGATTGGTTCGGAGATCACCTGGCAAATTGTAAATAATGTATGTTTTATATAAGGTGTTTGTTTTACTTTTATTTCTATTTTTATTTACTTATGTGTATATATATTTTTTTTTTCTTTACTCTTTTGTTCTTTCTTCTTATTCTTTTGTTATTACTTTATTTATTTATATTTTTGTATATACGGTATGAATGCAATCTCTGAACTCTATTATAAGTGTCCTTAACTGTGACAAATTGTAATATTTCTGAATAAAGTGTTTTTTAATAATAAAAAAAAAAATTTTTATTAACAAAACAGTTTGTTTTTTTTACCAGTCTTGGTCTTGCAGCAATTAGGGGGTCTTAGTCTTACAAAGTGCAAGACCAGCATCGAATTTGAGCAACACTAGAGAAAGAAGAAGAGTACTCGAGCACTTGCATAGTCAATCTCAAAATGGATAGTCATTAATTATCTACTAACAAGAGGACTGGTCCAAACATAGGTACTGTTTAAAATTACTTACATGTGACTTATTCATTTAATTAATACCACCCTCAAAACTGATATTTTATGACATACCATTATATAATTTTATCATCTTTCAATTTAAGACAACGACATGTGTTCCAATAGTTACCTATACATTGTGTCTTGGCAGTATTCAATTTCAGTCCTGGTTTGCATGAGACGAGATCAGAACAAAGATAGTTGCCTCTGATGTTGATACACCTTTGATCTGCACCGCATCTTGCCAATCCTTCTTCACATTCATCAATATCTATAGGAATAAATTCATAATTAAGACGAAGAAACTTATTAATTATTTTATAAAATAAACTATTATTATTTTTGTTTGTTATCAAGTCAAATAGTTAAAATTAATTATTTAGTCAAATAAAAAAAGGGAAAAAGAGAAAAAAAGTAGCACAAGCACATTCTTCTTGTTGATTATATCATTTAGTAGTAGACATTTTAGATGTTTGGGTTTCGATTAAATAAATATGTGTATTTAAATTTTTAGTTATGCATAAGTTTAACCTTTCTCTCCTGAAAAAACTGGGTATTCCACCAATAATCCTATTGAGGCCAACATTTCTTTAGGAATCATCATGAATCCTCTCATTTACATCTGCTCTACACATTAATATCATTAACTACACGTTTCTAGTAAAATTTTACAATACAGGTATTTTATCATCCCTATTTAAATGCACCAAGAGCTTCATTTAACCCACACATATACCTCTTTCTAACAGAGAAATGGAACAAGCGATGGTGGATATATATAAATCAGTAGAAATCCTCTTGTGATTTTTGCCTTTTCTAAGTTCCAATCCACCTACTTAAGCCATTACTTATACCTGATAGTTCTAAATCATATCTTCAGACTAAACAAAGGAGTTAAATGGAATAATCTCACTATATTATTAGTTAATGAAAGAGTGCTGGTTCAGCTATGTCATTCAAAATTGAGACCTTCCATATATTATACATTTACACATTAAATGGACAAGTAACCCTTTTCAAAATAAGTACAATAACTGACCTACACAGGTGGAACCAGTGACCCTATAGCCAGAAGGGCAGTGCTGTGTTAGTTGGCCACTGCAGCTAAGGCCAGTGCACTCTTCTATCTTCTTAATGCACCTGAAGGAGCCTTGGGTATTCCTGCATTCATAATCCACGCCCAGTAGTTTACAAGTATGTGTCCCCAATGCACATTCATCGTCATCTGCAAAATAATGTTAAGTAAATTACAGCAGATAACGGAATAAATAAATAAAATTGAGTTTATTTTTGTTGTGATAATTATAAAATATATTATGAGAAGGAGTTGATCGATGGGTGCGGTCAAATAAATAATAAATTAAACAAATAGTATTATTTGTTTCGACGTTTCGACCCATTTTGCAGGTCTTCATCAGTGCTGTATCCTACGCCCTGATGAAGACCTGCAAAGTGGGTCGAAACGTCGGCAAAAATTAAATAATGCTATTTGTTTAATTTAGTATTTATTTGACCACACCCCATGATCAACTCCTTCTCATATTATATCAACGGTCAACCATCTCAACATCATTATAAAATATATTGATTAAATACTATATAAAATAAAAGTTTTATTTATTTAATGATAAAGATCTTTCTAGGATTGAGTTATTTCACTACCAGACACGAGATAATATGATATTTAGAATACTTTGATCATCAATAAATCCAAACATAAAAATATGGTTATTTAAAGCAATTCTAATCACTTAAAAATAAATCTCTTTAATATATAAAAAAGTTTTTAGTGTATGTCATATTTTATTTTATTTCAGTATTAGGAGCGTCGGAGGTTACCAGAGCTCACCTATTAGCTCTATAATTAACATTAATTACACAGCTGTTTATTTAATCACATACGTCTTGAGCTCCTGTTACCCAATATTCTCCTAATAGAAAATAAAGATTTTAGACTTAAAATTTGCACCGTAAATAGAATTTATTATTCATTTGGAGGTGGTAGTTTGATTTTACGTAGGTGACAGCAGTTATTTTTCGATCTAGATATTTCCCCTAGACTACAATATACTAATTATTATATTATGTATAATATTATTTATATTACATTGTGATACAGTTATAATTATTATGAAAAATAAAAGGAAGCACAATAATCAAAATATTAGCACTAAAGCGCTTAGTCATCAATGGTTACAAATTCGCAATAAGAATAATTATAATTATATAATAATATAAATTGGCAATAAGGCGCGATGTATAATATAGAATTTGTTTTTATTTATTTATTTAGAAATATAACAATCTGTCATGTGGACAATAATTATAGTGGTATATGAACACATTCATACCATATATACAGAAAATATAAAATTAACAAATGTGAAATAATAATAAAAAAGTATGTACCATCAAAAAAATAACCTAAAGATAAATAAAATTATAGAATTTTAAAGAAATTAAAAATTTGTCAAAACAGTGGTTCGTTCTGTTTATTTTATGTTAACCAAAAATAATACAATCTGAAATACTAAATACATGTAAATTAAATGTATACAATTTTAGCAATCAGTAGTACAATTAATTAGAAAGTTAAATAATTTGTAAAATGGAGGTTGGTCCACCGTCAGGCGGACAGGGGGTACGCCCTAGTAATAATATATAAATGGAACCTTATAGAAACTCAATGTCCTATAAAAATAACAATATGATGTACAGAAGAATCTTAATCTCTGTCAAAATACAATATATACATTAAGTATCAATGATATATGTATAAGTAAATGTATAATTATCTGAGAAGGAGTTAGTCGGGGGTGCGGTCAGATAAATACTAAATTAAAATATAGTAACTATTTCATTTTAATTTTTCCGACGTTTCGACCCACTTTGCAGGTCGTCTTCAGGGCTACAAAAGATACAAAACATGTTGAAAATAAAAATAAAATGTAAGTAGATATAAAATAAGAAGAAGTTGTCATATACAGAAATAAAAGATGATATCAGAGATATAGTGGGTGACAATGTAGTAAAATATTAAGTATTATATATGTAGAAGATACAAATAAATGGAAATTAAGTATGAATAAAAAATGAATAAAAATAAAAATAAAGGAGAATATAGCATGTAAGTTAAAAGTAAACAGATTGCGATAAAATATAAGGAATAAGTGTATAACAAACTAATAGAGATTACATTAGATAATTATAGGTTTAACAGATAAATAAAATGAATGTTAACTAATAAATAGATTGAAAATTGAATAAGTAATGTTACAGTAAAGTTAAAATAAGAATAAGATAACATATTCATGATAGCATATTGTATAAGATAACATATTGTGCTGAAGGTGGCCTATGTTCCGGAACCACTTCGACAAGGGCGCACAATATTGATATATAAGGGCAAAGGTGATATGAACAATATCTCTACCTGGAGACCGATCACCATATACTCGATTGTGCGCCGAATCATAGAGAAGGTTCTGGACTACGAGTTAAGAAAGCAGGTCACCTTCCACAAGAGTCAGAGAGGCTTTATAAAAGGCCTCCCGGGAACGCACGTCAACGCGAGGATCATCGACGCGGTATTAAAAGATGCACAAAAAATGAAAAATGACTGTGCGATAGTTTTCCTCGACGTTGTCGGTGCTTTTCACAATGTTGGGCACAAACACATCGTAAGCTCCTTAGAAGCGAGAGGTGTGTCACCGAATCTTACAAATGTCATATCAGCTCTCCTTAGCACGAACACCATAAAGATTGGCAACGGTGTCCATGCAACTAGCCAGATCAAAGTGCTGCGCGGTGTACCCCAAGGCGGCCCCCTGTCGTCTTCACTCTTCAACCTGGCCATCGATCATCTCTACCGCGACCTGTGTGACGAGGACTTTTCCAAGAAATTTGGATACAAATTAAGGAATGAGCAGGATTGTGTGGTCCTCACAGGTTTCGCGGATGACCAGGCAGTGTCGGCGCGTGACAAGGGGGCTGCAGAAAGAGTGATTGACAGCATACAAAGAACATTTAAAGAAATTCGTCTGGCTATAAATCCTCAAAAAAGTATGGGCATCGTTATAAATAAAGGAGAGCTGGAAACTACGGTGCTCTCCCTTGAGAATGGTGAGTACATCCAAACATTGAAGAATGGAGATACGATTAAGTATTTAGGATGTACATTCTCGGGAGAGCTGCAATTCAACGAAGATTCGGTGACTAAATTGAATGATAATCTAAACAAGCTGGTAACCTCTTGCTTACTTAAACCTGAGCAGAAACTCAACATTGTCAATCAATATCTGTTCCCGGGTCTTACCTACCCTCTCCAAACTGCGCCCCTAACAAAGCTACGTCCTGCTATACTGGAGGGCATCGACACTATGATTCGCAGGAGCGTAAAGGCCATTATTGGACTCCCTGCGTATACTTCCACAGCGATGTTATATGCCCCCAGGAGATACCGAGGATTGGGATTAATCCGCTGCCAATGGGAGGCTCCTCTTCAACATTGGTCCATTGCTCAGCGACTGTCCAATGTACCCAGATTCAGTCTACCTTCGATTATTCGGCTGAAATTGCTGAATGTGCCGAGAGATTGGGGGTTGATCAGGGTCATCGAAATGTGAAAGCTCTACGGCAGTCGCTACGAGAAAATGCATTTGAGGAATGGGCCAACTGCAGGTGGCAGGGTATTGGTGTTCGCCATTTTAAAGAGACCCCGAAAGCGAATAGATACATCTACGAAAAGCAAGTACTTTCTGGGTCTGAATGGTCGAATGCCCTAAAACTAAACATTAATTATGCACCCCTGCGTGGAGTCCCAGGAGTCAGCGGACAGGTCAGAGAAGTTGGGTCCCTCTGCCGTAAATGCGGCAGAGAGTCTGAAACACCAGCACATGTGCTGGGAAAATGCCCCAACAACTCCCTCCTCATAACACGTCGTCACCACCGGGTCAAGTTCGAGTTGATGAGGCTCCTTAGGGAAAAAAAATTCACCTGCTTTGACGAGGTATATTGCATCGATAGTGAAGGCTCTACGAGATACGCTGATATCGTCGCATTTCCCAAGACAGGCAGGACAGCGCTGATCTTGGATCCAACTGTCCGCTTTGAGAGCAATGACCTCGATCAGGCGGGTGAAGTGGAAAGGGAAAAGAAGAACACGTACGATAAATGTGTCCCTTTCCTAAAAGAGAAATTCCGTGAGACCTTCGGAGAGAGAGAGTTCACCGTGAGAGGCCTCTGGTTTGGGTCTCGCGGAACTATCCCAAAAAGCTTCCTCGAGGAACTAGGTGTCGACATTAAGGAAGTAGCGAGGTTGGCTGAAAATATAGTCCTCGACTCCCGGGAATCATTCACCACCACGTGCATGGCTAGCCCGAGAGTTTTAATTTATGTATTTGTTTATTTATTTATTTAGTGAATAATTGAAAACAATAGCGATAAAGAGAGAGAAGTGAGAGAAAGGGAAACTAAAAATACTAATGTTAAATAAAAAAAAAAAAAAAAAAGCATGAACAATGAGAAGAAGGAAAAAGGGGAAAAAAAAAATTATAAAAATAAATAAAATAATAAAAATGTATATATATATATTTCTATTTTACTAATATTAACTAATACTTCTGTATATTTATATATAAGTTCATATATTGTCTTAAGGATAGAAGAGTATGCTGTGTATATAGCAAACCAATATAATTGGGCAGCAATCCTTTATATTTTATATTTTATGAAAATAAAGTGTTTCTCTCTCTAAGATATCAGTGGATAACAAGCAAGTGGGGGTTACCTTTAATTGTAAGTAAACAGATAACGGGACTACAGGTTAAGAAGTGAAGAAATTGAAATATTAATAGGGTAACATTATTGTATAATTAAAAATGATGAATATTTAATAGTTGGCCGTTGCATTATAAAGGAAGGAGATGGTCCGGGGTTGCGGTCATAAATAGGCTAAATAGTGGTAAAACTATTTTATTGAAAGCCGACGTTTCGACACGACTTTGCAGGTCTTCATCAGGGAGGTGTGTTCATCTAGGAGTTTCACTTAGAGCTTACGGAACACTTAGAACAGTTCTAAGTGAAACTCCTAGATGAACACACCTACCTGATGAAGACCTGCAAAGTCGGGTGGAAACGTCGGCTTTCAATAAAATAGTTTTACCACTATTTAGCCTATTTATGACCGCAACCCCGGACCATCTCCTTCCTTTATAATTAAAAATGTTGGTGCGGTGCTTATAACATTCATATATAGTCGTACCCACTTCTTTAATAGCATTTCCGGCAGTGAGAGTTTACATTCTGTCTATACTCCTCTTAGTCATCAAGTTAAATAGATCTGGAGCCAGGCCCGAAAAGGACGGGATTTTAAAAATGCTCGTCTGCCAGCGGCATTAGAGTTACTTGCACCCCCCTCCCCAAAATTCCGGTTATTTTAAACGAATTTTCGTTCGACCGTTATGAAACTAGGTTAACTGGAAGTCACAGAATACATTGTCTGCCAGTCCAAAGTGGTCGCTTACACCGAGCAGATGCAACTCAAAAACACACATTTTTTTATTGAAATTTCGTGTCATTTAAAGCCAATTTTCGTTTATATCTATCAAAACTAGGCTCATTGAAGTTTTGAACACGAAACATCTGAATGCCGATAGGTATAAACGAAAATTTGCTTAAAACGACCCGAAATATCAGTCCAAAACTTTTATTTTTGAGTTACGTCTGCTCGGCGTAAGCGACCACTTTGCATTGGCAGGCAATGTTTCCTGTGACCTAAAACGAGCCTAGTTTTGATAGATATAAACGAAAATTTGCTTAAAATGGCTCGAAATTTCGCTCCCCAAAAGTGTGTTTTTGAGTTTCGCCTACTTGGCGTGAGCGCCTACTTTGGATTGGCAGACGATGTTTTCTGTTACCTACAATCTAGTTTTGTGAGGTGTAAGCGAAATTTTGTTCAAAATGATCCGAAAGTTCGCATTTTTTTTATGGTTGCATATGCCCCTGCATCAGTTTTTTAGTGACCTAGTCTGCCATTGTGGGCCAGAGTTTGTTTATGGATAAATTGGAAAGATTAATTAATAGAGGACCCTCTCCTAGAAGGCCTACTGAAGAATGCTATCAATGCTATAGACTAGTGTTATTCCTGAAGACATATACTTCTATAATTCTTCTATGGATAATGATTTGAAGTATAAATGAAGTAATGTTGGAACGAGTAAGAAGTCTTGCCTTGTCCTCCACAGGTGGGAGAAAAGGCCCGACTCGGAGCTCCCTCGGCTGACTGTAAATATTGTAAATAAGTTTGAATGTGTTTTTATTTATTATTATTTTTTTTATTTTAATTTTTAATTTTTTATTTTATTTTAGTTTTTATCTAATGTTGTATCATGTTTGATTTATTCTGTTACACCAAGTTTTATTTTATTTTATTTTCTTATAATCTTGTTGTTCTTATATTGTATATATGGTATGATTGTACTTCATTCATCATAAATACTCAATGCCCTTAATTGAGGCAAAATGTATTTTTTTTTCTCTATAAAAATTGTTCATCAAGGAACGAGTAAGGAAATGTGGGTCTGCTTGCCCAAGTTTAAATATTCCGTACACGATAGTGAGTTTAAACGAAATTAAAAATTTGACTAAGGACTTTTGTTATCAACTATTAAATGAAACGATGCTTTATTACATTTCTCATATTTTGAAAATTGTTTTTATCCTTCAAGATCGACCCCACTGTGCGTTGATTTCATACGGAATATTGCAAAATGACAGAGGGCTAAAGAGTCAATGGTCTGAGAAAAAATACATTATTGTATATCATAGGGTAAGATAAACATTATTAAAATATATCATAATATACTGAAATAAAAATTTTAATTAGTCATATTTCAATTAATTCCTCTAGTGACGAATATTGTACCTTCACATTTCCCAGACTGAGAGTTAAGTGTGTATCCAGTTCCGCAATTAATATCTCGCACGCAAACATAAGAACCAAGCGTATTGTCACATCTCTGGTAGTCAACACAATCATGGGTTCTTTGCTGGCACTCATTTATGTCTGTAAAATATAGTATTAACAGGATGACTATTGGAAAATCATCAAAGTGTAAATCATATATAACTGTGAATAATAATTATATTATTGATTCAGTGTTAATAGGAATATTAATTATTTATCAAATATATTTATTGATTAATTGAATAAATACTGATACAATACTGCTACTGGTGGGGGGACTAGTCCGGCATGTGGGCCTTGTGTTCATTTTTGCCGACGTCTACCTCGTGGTTGCCGCCCCGTACTTTGCAGAATAAGACTACCAAGATTCATTTTCTGACACGGCGGAGAAATAAATATTAACCGACTCGGGTAGAAATAGAATCTGTAACGTCCGGAACCGGGCACTCAGGGACCAACCCCAACACGCCAACGAGGGGGTTACGTTCTCTGATTGAATAAATATAAGCAGATCATATGGGGGTTACTTATTAATGATCTCTAATAAAATCGTGTAAATTATAAATATACATTTTTATGAACTTCGATTACACAGGCCTACAACCCAACATTTGTTATGACAATAAATTTTGCCTGATTTTTTTTTTTACACCCAATCGGGGTGTCATGGAGTGATGTGTTCTTCCATTTGCTTTTTATTTTTTTCTCTTCTGTCCTGATGATGCTTGATTTGGCGAAACTTTGACGTTTTTTTTCCTATTTTTTGCCTACGTTTTGGAGACATAAGGCTGTGTGGTTGGAAGTTTTCCAATTATAACCAGTGATTGATTAATTTAACTGATGCATCTACAACGATCCATGGATTTCTCACAAGGTAAGCTCATTAATTTGCTCTGACTAATGAAAAATAATTTATTAACAGTCGTTCACGATCAATTGCACTAGTAGGTATATTTTAAACAGACGATTTTTTTTTTTAATCGTTATTTTAGAAGAGAATTTTTCCCATTTTCCTTTATCACTCACCAATCTATAAAATATTTTTCCATCAGATTCGAGATATTGCTAATTAATAATATTAATTACTAATTATTTTTAACCAGTTTGTAATTAAAATTTGTATCCTATCAGTAAATAATGATCCATCAATTGCATCCCAAATGCTTCAATCACACATCATAAATCTTGAAGAATGGTGTCAAAAATGGAGAATTAAAATAAACTCCAATAAATCCCATCAAATTACCTTTACCCTTCGTCGTAAACCAACGACTGCCTGTCCTACAGTTTCCTTTAACAATACTCCACTTATCCCTGTTGAGCAAATCCGATACCTAGGACTCCACCTGGACAAGCGACTAACTTGGAATCCTCCATACTAGACGGAAACGACAAGAAACCGCTCGACGTTTCCGATTACTTCAGCACCTACTAGACAAACGCTCTAAACTTCCCATTAATTACAAAAGACTCATATACTTGACAATAATCAGACCTATTTGGACTTACTGAGTTGAGCTATGGGGCTCCACTAAACCATCGAATTCCTCTCGCATCCAATCCTTACAATCCAAAATCCTTCGTAAAATCCTCAATGCTCCTTACTTTGTCACTAATAAAATTATCCATAAAGATCTTAATGTTCCTTATGTTTCAGATCTGGCCTAATCCAAATACCTATCCTTCCATAATAAACTTCAAAATCATCCCAACCCTCTCGTTTCTAACCTTGCTTCCTCTTCAATTCCTGATAGCCCTCCGAGGCGTCTGAAACGAAGATGGCCCCGTGATCTCCTAATGTAGTCATATCATTAGAGTGCTACCATTGGGTAGTTACTCAGCAAGTGTATTCATGTCATTATGTCCAAATTTACTAAATGTATTTATGTAATACAGTTGTAAATGTCATTAAGAAATAAAAAAAAGCAATTAAAATCATAAACGTATAAAAATACTGTAAAAACAATACAATTCTTATTAAGAAAAACATTTTCTTTGTTAATTTTCGAGCTAAATTTAACTTTCATGTGCTTATTATTTAAAAACTAAGATTGTAAATATTCTCAAAAGATCACAATACTAGTCAAGTGCTAAAGTATTGAATTTTTATACCATACTGGTAAATGTACCAGTAATAGACACTTAAAGAGATTTTTTTGAACATAAATGAGAACTACAGCTTTAGTTCTGATGGTGGATCTTTACAAATAGATTTAATTGAAAGCAAATTTGACCTTTTATTGGAATATTTGTGCTAGATAGGCGGTTTTTATCAGTTTTCATATAGAAATTGGAAAATTCTGACACTTGATTTTGTACCAGTAATAGATACTTAGAATTTTCAAAGATCCAGTTGTATACACTCTTATGTATCAATTACAGACAGGCTATAACAATAAACAAAACAAAATTATAACGTTTAAAATATATGTGTGTTTAATAACAGGTAAATGAAATAATAGAATTATAAATTATAAATTTGTCTAAACATTTTCAAGGGATTCATTAACCTACAAATCGTCATTTTTGTAAATTCACATATCGACGTTAATAGGAATCGGGAATTGGTATCGTTTCTATTTCTTTTGTCATTGGTTTCAATTTATTCTGAAAAATGCATTAGACCACTTCTGACGAGGACATTCGTAACCAAATGATTCCTTTTTAATTATTTGATAAGATGTTGTACTAGACAGTATACGTTTTCTTTTAAACTGAGAATCCAGCAATTCCAACTGAAATAATCCAATCCGATAACATTCAATCTTCATCACCATTCAATGTTAAAGAAGATTCCTTTTTTCGGTTTATTGGTGATTTTCCTTTAGCTTTATACATTAAAGTTATTCGTGGATCATCATGATTTTTAGCTGCAGTGACGATTGGTAAACCACGATGGACATCACAAATTGCATTTAGCATATTTTCTTCTGGATATTTCCAGATTTTTTTGTGGTTGCATGGCGCTTACCTGTAAACATTAACATAAAGTGTAAACATTAACCAAAGCATTATAGAAGGATTTATAATTTGGTTTCCATGAATCAGACGGTCTGAGATGTCAACAATTATTAGTATTACAATTTCTTGCGATCATAATTAAATTAAACTTCCAGGCATACTATTTTTTAATATCTACTACACAATAAATGTAATAGTTAAAAACTAACTTAAAATGATACAGTATCAGACATGGGTGTCTATTACTAGCTCTATTGTTTAAATGCTGTTCCAGTAATGGACAACCAAGTTTAGTAGATGATAGGTTACTTTATAAAATTATGAAAACAAATTAAGTACTGTTTTCCAATAAAGAAATGGAAAAGTACCACCTAATAAATTTAAGTTATTCCAAATTATCCATACAATTTCAAACTAACCTCTTTAACAAAAGTGACAAGGCAGTCTCTATGCGACAAACACTTAGTCTTGTTTTATTAAAAAATAATCTGCCAAGCCGCCATTTGAACATGAAATAATCTGTAGTTGAGTTATAACCTTTCTGAATGTGCCAGCTAAAAACCTAGTTGCACTTAAAATCTCTAAAAATGCTGATTAATACAAAAGTGTCTGTCACAGGCACAGTGTCTACTACTGGTACGCTGACCTTAAATTTAAAAAATCTTAATTCCTTCTATTTCATTTTTTCTTACCAAATGTCATTGACTTACCAACGCAGGCAAGAGTTACTGCATCCTGCTTGAATCCTGTTTTACATATGCATTCAAAACTGCCATTTGTATTGACACAGTTTTGATTACTGTCACAGGGAGGATCTTCAGTTTCAGCACATTCATCAATATCTGAGAGGAAAAATCATGAATAGAAATTTCTTTGAATGACATTAGATATTGTAGTCTTATATAATATTATAAATTCAATTCTGTATATGTATATCTATATCTATATCTATATATATATATATATATATCCCGAGACGTTCTCATGTTTCCCACTACTAAGCCGAGTTAGGGTGGCTCTTTCTCTCCTTCAGAAGACAGTACTTCCTAGGTACATACCTTTACCAAATAATCTATAATCATCGTCCGTCCTACGCATTCAATCTCCTTCCGACCTTTATACCCCTTTCCACAAATCGGCCTCATTTCAACACTCCTTTATTGTCCGATCCACCACATTTTGGAATTCCATCCCACTTAAAATCCGCCATGCACCATCCTTATCCACATTTAAAACCCTCCTTTTCCAATTCCACCTTACAATTCAATCAGACGCTGGATAGCCTATCATTGTATTATTATACTATTATTGTATTATTATATATGTATATATATATATTAATATATACATTGTATATATACTATTGTACTATTATTGTATTCTTACTATTATTGTGTTATTGTATATATATATATTATGTATATACGATTATACTATTATTGTATTCTTCGAACATACTATTATTTCTATAACATCTTTATTATTATTATTTTTTTTTTCATTTATACAATGTCATGACAACAAAAGTTATTTGTCGCTCATTTATAATTTCATAGCGTATTGTGTATAGCAACTATTTTGCAGTATTAGGACCTTATTGCTCATATTAAGTCTTCCCATATCTGTACTATTATGTAAATACTTCTTTTATCCCTTATTTTTTAGTTGTTTTTTTTGTTTGTTTGTTTGTTTTTGTTTATTGTAATATACATTTTGGCCAGATGTAATGTTAATTTTATGTACAATATTTTATTCTCAAGGGACGTAGTCCCAGAATAAAGTTGATTCTTCTATATATATATATATATATATATATATATATATATATATATATATATATATATATACATGATAATACACAATGACAAAAATAAATTAAATAAAAGTATTAAACATGCATGAAAGAACTAGCCATAATACTTATTACAATTTTAAAGTTACGTGTCAGCGAGTTATAACTGATAAAAAGAAAAAAAAGGTTCATGAAATGACACAATTTCGGAAATATGCTTTAATCCTTCGTGTCATCCTTTATATGTAGATTCTGAGTTTGACATTCATGAATTGGTATTTAGGCTAACTGTCGCACTCCGGACCATAAATTATATATATATATATATGTGTGTGTGTTTGTTTGTGTGTGTGTGTGTGCGTGCGTGTGTTTGTGTGGGCGCGTGTGCAGACTTCGGGGGAGAGGAGAGGCGCAATCGCCCAATAAAAATTTTGAGGGAGCGAGAATATCGTTTCGCCACACTATTAATTTAAAGCAAAAAAAAAAAATAAATAAAATCAATAATAAATAAGCTATATGAATGAATAAAATGTTTAAACTAAAATCAATTTAGAAAAGTCGACTAGCTGGCTAGGCCAGAGCCCCTAATAGTAGCTGTGCAACAATAAATTTTATTGTAACCTAAATGTTACTTTTATTTAAATTGTCAGTTATATTATAATAGATTATAATATTCAAAGATAATTGATATAAATAATACATTTATATCAACACATCCTACAATTTTATGATTCAATCAGCCCACAATTTTCACGTGAAATTCTTTCATATTTTAAGCGCAAAACTAATCGGTCTCTGAAAAACGTTTTATTTTTATTTGAGATTGTACATACTAAGAAATAAAAGATATTTTATTTTCACATTATTCATTTATAACTAAAAACGTTTTAGACATATAAGAAAGCTGTAACGGCTGTGACCCCTCTCCCCTGTGTCTAATCCAGAGTTGGGCATTAGCTACCTAATTTTTAGCTAGCTAAAGTTCAGCTAAACAGCTAAAATTAGCTGTGGTTGTGAAGTTATAATGTATTATATCATGTTACGTTATGCTGTATTATATTATATATTGTTATATTCTATTGTGTTATATTATATTATTTGATGGGTAATATTCCTTGCTGATTAATGTGTTTTGTATGGATAAAAAAAACAAATAATATAATATTAAAAAAGCTAATCTATATGTAATATTAAAAAATCTATAGAAAGAATAATTTGATTCAAGTATTATAGATTAATTTGCTGATGTTATGTCGTAATAATCACAATGTGTGTAAACCTCCATTTGTACTTTGATTTCAATATTGGAAATTAATTTGCTAATATCATATTGTAATAATTAAAATGTATGCATACACTCCATTTGTATTTGTATGGGATCAGTCTCCAAAACAAATGAATATATATTCGATATTCTATCCTGTTTTGTATATATGTAAATTGGATAGAACATAGAAAATACTTTCTTGAAATAATGCGCCATTTTGGGCCTCGGCTGCCGGACTGGTGAGAGGACGGATGCTTCAGAACAGAGGTTCCTGGATCAATCTCTGTCAGAGGAATCCTCATAGCCCTGAAACCTATCTGGACCTACGGACTTGAGCTGTGGGGGACAACTAAATCATCGAATATCAAACGCATCCAATCCTGCCAGTCTAAAGTCCTTCGAACAATAGTCAATGCTCCGTATTATGTCACGAACAAGACCCTACACCATGACCTTAACATCCCATATGTCCATGACATCATCCCATCCAGATTCTCCAACTTTCACCAGAGCCTCATTCATCATCCCAATCCTCTAGCGCAATCCCTATCCAGCTCCGAGCATCCATACCATCCCCCTCGAAGGTTGAAACGGCAGTGGCCTCGAGATCTTTTGTAAATATGCCTTTGGAGTCCTGGCAATGGCCAGCTTCTCCACTCATGTCGTGAGCGTCTGTGGCTCTAGTGCCCTCTTTCAGTCTCCACTGGCTTCTAATACTAGTGATGCGGCTGGAAAATTGGCACTGAGATCTTCCGGAGTCTTGCTTTGCCTTCCACGTGTGGGGGAAAAAGCCTGGTTCGGAGATTCTTGGGCGTATGTATATATTGTTTATAGTTATGATTGTGTTTAGAAATTTTTAATTTATTTTATTTGTTTATTATTATTATTTTTTCTTTTCTTTTTATTTACCTTCTTCATCAGTATTATTTATTTACTTCTTATATTTATATTTATTTCTTTATTATTTGTATATATTGTATGAATGAGAACTTTTAGCCCTAATGCTTATAGCCCTCCAGCAGTGGCTGATTGTATTATTATTCAATAAATAAAAAAATATGACGTCTTTATTAGGAAGATGGCTTGAGGTGTTCAGAATTCTCAAAAGGGAATGAGGGGGAGGGGGGTGGTTACCGAACCTGTTTTACCAGGATCCGGAGTTTGAAGTGTTCCAGTAAAAAAATAAGACTTTGTAATAGTTTTATAGATTGTTTATTTATTTAATCTTCTGCTCTTTTACTGCATAGCAATGTGATAGCCCTGGAGCCAGGGTCCAAAAATTGACCTGATCGCAGGCGAAGGTTTGATTGTAAATTACGAAAGTGTATGTTATTCTGAGTAAAAAGAACCTTGTCTGCCGTTTCAGAGGCACTGCTTTAAAAAATGGCGGCTGATTTTAAGAATATTAGGCCAATCATTTGAGGATCGAAACGGGAAATCCATTGCGAAAAATATGCGAAAAAGTTTTTATTTTTTTAACTTGTATATATGGGCTTAGGCATGTAAAAAACGAAATTGCTAACGCGGCCCACCGGAGAAAAACTTTTAACAGCCAAAAAAGTCAGATTTTTTCGATATTTTTTTTGTTGTTTCACCTATAACTCCTAAACGATGCATCAAAGCGAAAAATGTATTCTTTAATAAATTAAATAACGTGAAATTTTTCTTTAAACGAATACATAAACTTTATGATATGGTTATGCGGTAAGGTATAAAACCACGGTCAACCAACGCTGATTTTCACCAATTTTTTCAAAAACTGAAACAAATTTCTATAAAATGGCGCTGTAACTTGGAAATGAGTTCCCTTAGAGGAAACACTAATATAGTCAAAGTCGTAGAGAATTAAATTTTGCGTCCACCGAGTACCAACTAGTTTAATGTAGATCACTTACTGCGAACGAAATCGGTAATCTACCGATGGTTAGGAATTGGTAATGAAGGTAAACGTGATTTTCAATATTTCAGCAGTATGGGTGTCTATTCTACTGAGCTATTGTTGTTTAGAGTCATTTACATGCAGTGTAAGCCTCTTTTCCATTTCTCTACAGCAAAGGATTTTGGTAAAGGATGTGTCGAAAGATACCGAATTTTATAAAGGAATAACGAAACCCGATTCGAGATATATAATTTACAATAAAAAGGTCAGTACTCAGTGGACGCGAAATGACGCAAACGACAACTTTGACTATATGAGTGTTTTCTCTAAGGGAAATCATTTCCAAGTTACAGGGCCATTTTTAGTAATTTGTCTCAGTTTTTTGACAAATTTGGTAAAAATCGGCGTTGGTTTGTCCGTGGTTTTATGCCTTACCGCGTAGCCAAATTATAAAGTTTAAATATTCGTTTGAAGCAAAATTTAACGTTCTTTAATTTATTAAAGGATATGTTTTTCGTTTTGATGCATCGTTTAGGAGTTATAGGTGAAAAAACAAAAAAGTATCGAAAAAATCTGACTTTTTTATCTGTTCACGCTAGCAATTTCATTTTTTTATGTCTCAACTCACATATATAAGTTAAGAAAGTAAAAACTTTTCTCACATCTTTCGCAACGGATTTCCCGCTTCGATCTTCTACTGATTGGCCTAATATTCTTAAATTCAGCCGCCATTTTTTAAAGCAGCGGCTCTGGAACGGCAGACAAGGTTCTTTTTACTCGGAATAACATACAATTTCGTAATTTACAATCAAACCTTCGCCTGCGATCAGGTCAATTTTTGGACCCTGGTTCCAGGGCTATCACACTACTATGCAGTAAAAGAGCAGAAGATTAAATAAATAAACAATCTATAAAACTATTACAAAGTCTTATTTTTTTACTGGAACACTTCAAACTCCGGATCCTGGTAAAACAGGTTCGGTAACCACCCCCCTCCCCCTCATTCCCTTTTGAGAATTCTGAACACCTCAAGCCATCTTCCTAATAAAGACGTCATATTTTTTTATTTATTGAATAATAATACAATCAGCCACTGCTGGAGGGCTATAAGCATTAGGGCTAAAAGTTCTCATTCATACAATATATACAAATAATAAAGAAATAAATATAAATATAAGAAGTAAATAAATAATACTGATGAAGAAGGTAAATAAAAAGAAAAGAAAAAATAATAATAATAAACAAATAAAATAAATTAAAAATTTCTAAACACAATCATAACTATAAACAATATATACATACGCCCAAGAATCTCCGAACCAGGCTTTTTCCCCCACACGTGGAAGGCAAAGCAAGACTCCGGAAGATCTCAGTGCCAATTTTCCAGCCGCATCACTAGTATTAGAAGCCAGTGGAGACTGAAAGAGGGCACTAGAACCACAGACGCTCAGGACATGAGTGGAGAAGCTGGCCATTGCCAGGACTCCAAAGGCATATTTACAAAAGATCTCGAGGCCACTGCCGTTTCAACCTTCGAGGGGGATGGTATGGATGCTCGGAGCTGGATAGGGATTGCGCTAGAGGATTGGGATGATGAATGAGGCTCTGGTGAAAGTTGGAGAATCTGGATGGGATGATGTCATGGACATATGGGATGTTAAGGTCATGGTGTAGGGTCTTGTTCGTGACATAATACGGAGCATTGACTATTGTTCGAAGGACTTTAGACTGGCAGGATTGGATGCGTTTGATATTCGATGATTTAGTTGTCCCCCACAGCTCAAGTCCGTAGGTCCAGATAGGTTTCAGTATGGTCTTGTAGATTAATAATTTGTTTTCTGTTGAGAGATGAGATGTTCTGTTTAGTAGTCTATATAGTTGACCAAATCGTTGGTTAAGCTCTTGTCTTTTAAGTCTCGTATGTGGGTTCCAAGTCAGTCTTTTGTCCAGAAGGAAGCCAAGGTATCGGACTGTGTCTGAGTAGGGAAGAGGAATTGAATTAAAAAGGATTGGCGGACAAGACGTCATATTAAAACAATCGTTTTATCACACAATATAAAATTAATTAATTAATCTATTCTTCATTAATTTATTGCAAACATTTATGAATTCGCTTGTATTTAATTAAAAACTTACCAATGCAGGTACCATGCTGTTTACTGAAGACAAATCCACGCCTGCACCTGACCGTGGGGTGCTTTCGGGAGGTTGCTCGAGGAGTACACCTATATGATCCTATCGTGTTCACACATTTATCGTTTTCGCTGCAAAGATTAAGACCTTCGGAACATTCGTCAATATCTGAAAATCACACGAGTATTGATATCTGTTACCTTCCAAATATATATTCACTCGAATAAAGATTTTCCAACATACGCATGAAGAACATTATGTGATGACATATAAAAAATGTTTACCTTCACAAAGAGGATCTTGATTAACAAGTTGCTTGAGTCGAAAACCTTCAAGGCAAATCGGCGTCGGAGGCCTGTCCTCATCCCGAACACCTGGATAAATATTTTTTTTTTAATGATAAATCTATTTGTACAATATTTATAATGAAAATTTGAGCATTGGAAAGATAATCTCATAAATTAGCGTTTGAAAGAGAAAGTATCGATAGTAAATCGACTTGATAGAAGAGATACCTTATATCAGTTAGTTGAAGCAATGGATGTTAATACCTTAACTCACATACTAATATGAGAAATCAGCTGTTATTACCCATAATTATGGTATTAACCCCTGTTATTATCCTCGGTAAAGTAATTGAAATGGTAAGATCGCAATGGTACGGGCACAAGGAATTGACGGCCCTATTGCCTGGTGATTTTACCGAAATTGCCAGTGTTAAGGGAACAACTTCTTCAATGATGATCGCATAGTACACCAAGCACACAAAACACCAAGGCCGCATACAGTGGACTCCGTTGGACTCCATATTAGGGAAAACAGGTCAGGATACTTAATACGAAGTGTCTACAAAAGTTCGTCTGTCGGATTCATGACTTTTCCCTTCCGTTAATAAAATTCCCTGATCCCTTCCTCCGGAAAGTGATGTGAAAAATAATAAAAATCTTTTATCAAAATATTTATTAAAAAATATCATATAATACACATTAAAAATAAAATTGTTCTACATATTTTCCTGATTCTTGGAAACGATCTATTGTTAAAATGATCCACAAACCCAAAAAACCACCAGAATACCCATCCTCTTACCGTCCTATCTCTCTTTTACCCATCATGGGCAAGATCCTAGAAAAACTCATCTTAAAACGCCTGTACCCTATCCTAAATTCTAAACACATAATCCCAGATCACCAATTTGGTTTCCGAACTTCCCATTCCACTATACAGCAATGTCATCGTGTGGTAGACGTAGTATCCTCTGCATTGGAGCGCGGAATGTACTGTACGGGAGTCTTTCTCGACGTTGAACAGGCGTTTGATAGAGTTTGGCACCCGGGACTGCTGTACAAACTCCGAAAATTCCTACCACCTACATACTTCCTCATTATCCGTTCTTACCTTACTGATAGATACTTTAAAGTAAATCACAATAACGCCTATTCATCCCTTTTTTCCCAGTCCGCTGGTGTTCCTCAAGGTAGTATCCTAGGTCCTATCCTCTATACAGTTTATACAGCTGACATCCCAACCCATCCCAACACTGTCATCACCACATATGCCGATGACACATGTATCCTATCAGTAAACAATGACCCAGCAATTGCATCCCAAATGCTTCAATCACACATCATAAATCTAGAAGAATGGTGTCAAAACTGGAGAATTAAAATAAACTCCAATAAATCCCACCAAATTACCTTTACCCTTCGTCGTAAACCAACGACTTCCTGTCCTACAGTTTCCTTTAACAATACTCCACTTATCCCTGTTGAGCAAATCCGATACCTAGGACTCCACCTGGACAAACGACTAACTTGGAATCCTCATACTAGACTGAAACGACAAGAAACCGCTCGACGTTTCCGATTACTTCAGCACTTACTAGACAAACGCTCTAAACTTCCCATTAATTACAAAAGACTCATATACTTGACTATAATAAGACCTATTTGGACTTACGGAGTTGAGCTATGGGGCTCCACTAAACCATCGAATTCCTCTCGCATCCAATCCTTACAATCCAAAATCCTTCGTAAAATCCTCAATGCTCCTTACTTTGTCACTAATAAAATTATCCATAAAGATCTTAATGTTCCTTATGTTTCAGATCTGGCCCAATCCAGATACATATCCTTCCATAATAAACTTCAGAATCATCCCAACCCTCTCGTTTCTAACCTTGCTTCCTCTTCAATTCCTGATGACCCTCCGAGGCGTCTGAAAAGAAGATGGCCCCGTGATCTCCTAATGTAGTCATATCATTAGAGTGCTACCATTGGGTAGTTACTCAGCAAGTGTATTCATGTCATTATATCAATTATGTCCAAATTTACTTGATGTATTTATGTAATACAGTTGTAAATGTCATAAAGAAATAAAAAAAAATAAAAAAAAATAAAAAAAAATAAAATTAAAACCAAGACTCAGTATGTTCAAAATATTAATGCAAAAAAACATCGGCTGTTATTCTTCTATGCTAATAATCATCAATGTCTTACTCCAGCTCTATCTAACAGGGAGAAGGTGCTTGAAAAAGTCTTTATAGCTCATAACTACGTAATCTTTTATTTTTTAAAAACTGTACCACTACAACCCATGAAAGGTCTTGGTTTCAGTACTATTTAGGGAAAGTATGTCGAAAGTAAGTAAGTAATAAGTCTAAATCAACGTAGGTGATTTGACCGAGATCAAGCTCAACCGCTAGGTTTTCCCCTTTAATTAATTATTTTAATTAAGGCTGCCCGCTATATAGAGGCTGGATGTGCACCAGGAGGGTGCCCCGACCTCAGAGATGTTCCACGGCCGATGAAACAGAATAAATAATATACCTGCCATAAGCTGGGATTCGCACTTAGGACCTTGAGCATTGGAAGCTCAGCGCCTTACCACTGAGATACCTTACTCTCTTACGTCTTACTTATTGTTTCTAATTATGCAATTCGTTGATTATGAAATACCTTTCTATTTTATTAGAACTTAGTTAATTTTAATTATGTAAGTACAGATATAAAAGATCTTTTGATTTTCCTCAACTTTGAGGTTTATTATTGGGTTATCAAAGGATGAAAATAGTATTAATCGTAAAATCTCGCTCAGGTGTCAATGTATTTCAACTTTTTAAGTTTCTTTTATATAAGAATCTACATTGTAACTAATAAATTGTTACAATTACGTCAAATATGAAAATATGGGTTTGGTATACTTTATTTGAAACATTTATTTAAACAAAGTCTCGAAAACGCTTAGATAAACACTTTGTACCTTGCTTTAATTGGTCTAGCTTCATTTTACCCTGTACACTGTTTGTTATCACTAATTTTTTTTGGCTATTTGAAAACAATGTTTCTTACAGAAGCCCATCAAAAAAGGCAATAGTGATGCCGGACCATAGAAGAACCTTCTCCTCTCTTGCAGCAATTTCATTTTCATTGGTTTACATTTATCGGATTGTAGTTATTCCTGCAACTGAACTAGCTTCATTTATGTATATTCAATAATTGCTCTCATATTAAAACCGTTCGCCACTAGTCTTGATTTGTACTCTCCTGCGGTTCTTTCAGGTGTGGGTTTCAGTTTATACAGCCATTTACAGATTGACTTAGCACCTGCTGTTAAGGCTTTTAGCTACCAAGTATCATATCATTTTTTGGTAGAGACTTCATCCCTTGCTTTATAGCTAACTCTCTGTGATGTTTGTCTTTTCCTAGTGTTTGTGCATCTCTCATAGTTCAGCTTACTGCTTTAAGCTCTCTCAACACTTCAAGGTGAAGATTCATCGAGAGCATCCAGTGGTTTACGGGCGTTTATAGCCTCGCTAGTGACCACAACAATCATACTTTGGTTCACGGGCGTTTATAGCCTCACCAATGAACATAACAATCATACATTGGTTTACGAGCGTTTATAGCCTCGCCAGCGACCATTCACATTCATTCTTTGATTTACGGGAGTTTAGAGCCTCTCCAATCACCATAAAATACACACACACACACACTTTGGTTTACGAGCAATAACAGCTTCATTCACACCTCTAACATTGATTACCGTCTAGGATATTCTTTTTTTTTTTTTCTATTTTTATTTATTTTTGGTATTTTCAGTTTTTCGCAAAAACGGGATAGACTAAAAATATTTGTATATTTGCTTCTAGGAAATGTTTTATTGCTTTAAAAATTGTAATACAGTTCTAAATTTCATCAATAAAAAAAATAATAACATCAGAGCTTTGGAAATCGTAAAGACATATAAAAACTTTGCCTGGAAGAGAAATGCATGTAGGAAACCTATTAAAGAAGGTATATGTCAATTATTAATCTATGGTAAGCAGATTGCCACATGATCAAAAGAGAAAAATAACAGAATAGTTGGTTTCCGTGAATGTCGGCGGTACATTCCACAAATCTTTCTCAAAATACAAGTAACTGGTAAATAACAAGGATAATTAACGAAGTTTAAAATATGTTACTATTTAAAAGAAAAGTTTGAAGCCATCAATACCAAATATTACCTTAAGTTCGTCAAAGTTATAAGACACTCCATTAAAGAATTTTTAAGTAATAATGTCGGAGAGATAAAAAATAAAGAAGTTATGTATTTAACAGCCAGAGGGAATTACTCTGCAGCTCACAGCTCCATACACTCCAGAGTAGAATGGAGGAATTGAAAGAACATTCCGAATTATCATGTAAATGGCCAGGACTCATGTGAACATGGTTCAACATGTTACGCTCACATTCAAAAAGACGAATGAAAGTGGAAAATTAAGCTGTAAAAGGATACTAAGTTGGGTATGATGGAGAGAAATGATATAGAGTTTGGATCTAGGAAGAAAATATAGTAGTTCTTTCAAGAGATGTATTTCATGAGAAGCTAACTAAGTGTGAAGAAGGAGGCAAGTTTTCTATGAAAGCAGAGAACCTACAGATAATTTCAGAGAATCTTAAGATCAGGGAAGACAGTAAATAGAAGAAAACGGTAGTTCTATTGATAAATATGTCGCAAATAGATCAGAAGAATGTCAAATAGTAATGAATCAGATAAAGTAGAATTTAAATCATTCTTCATGGAGAATTAGACAGATTGCACCACATTAAGGAAATCATATAATTTGGACGACATAATGCTGAGTAAAGCATTAACGTGAGTGGGTGTGTGTATTTTATGGTCACTGGGGAGGCTATAAAAGCCTGTAAATCAAAGAATGAATGAATAAAAACACATCTAATAAATGTGAGACAGAGAGAAATGGTAGAATAAAAACATTTTTAGAGAGACTACCTATTAGAAGCACCCTAATAAATTTTCTACATTAGGAGATCATTTCATTTGAGAGAGAAATGAAGTTTATTATGAATGGGTAGACGTCTGGATTGGGTTTGATTCACGTTCACCATTGACACCATTTTTGAGATGTGTGATTGAAGAGTTTGCGATGCGATGCGAAGGGTCATTATTAACTGATAGGACATATGTGTCACCGGCATACGGGGTGATGATATTGTTGGGAGGGGGTTGGGATATCAGCTGTATAAACTGAGTAAAGGATAAGACTGAGAATATTACCTTGAGGAACACCAGCAAACTGGAAATAAAGAGATGCATAAGTATTATTGTTATTTGCTTTGAATTATCTGGTAGTAAGGTAAGGACAGATAACGAAAAAGTATGTTGGGTGTAGGATTTTACGGAGACAGTCTTGGATGCCAGACTCCATCAAAATCTCTTACGGTAAAACTACAAAATTCTAGACTGAGTTATTCTCCAAAATTTAATAAATCTTACAGGCAACAGGTCCAACTTGTACAATGCTCCATCTTTTTCTCGTTTTTTCTCACAATAAAACCTTGCCCGTGTTTGAAAAGTTGCAACTTGGATCTCTTGATTCAAACACATTCTTGAGAAGCTTAGATACTTTTGTTCTTTTAAATTCTTACCAAAAACAAAGCTTTACTTCGAATTTTGGGCAAGTTTAACAAGTTGCCTGATTGTTGATGCCTAGAATCATTGCTCTTGTTGAATTTAAAATTTCTTTCAACCCTGCAAAGTTGAAGTCCAAGTTCTTCGAAATTATTCCTGTCATCTACCTTAAGTTACCTCCAAACTGTTATGAAGTTCCTAAATCTACCTGGCAAAATATTAATTGGTTTGCTAACTAATAATAATCCAGACTAGATAGTTATATCGCCTGCCTTCAGCCCATTGTTCAGTTCATTCTTAATAGTTTTCAATTTGGCTTTATGAATTTTGACAACCTCGTTCGGACTTCAAGTAAAAAAATCAGGACACAACTTGAAGAGCTGACCGTTGGACGTGGATTCCAACTAATCCACAAAAGCATTCCAAGCTTCATGAGCTCTATGTGAATTCATTATTTTCTGATAAACTTTATCAGTAACTGATGAAAAAATCACTAATTTAGCATAGATAATTGTTTTGTTTTTTCAAATATCTCTTAGTTATTTGTTTATTGTAAAAACAAAGTAAGCATCTCTGTGCCCATATTATCTCTTATCATGGTTTACCTTATAATAACAAACTCAATAATCAAGTTTATATTACGAAGTCATGGGTGCCCAGAGGGGGGTTGAATGGCGCCAGTTGAGCCATCAAAAGTTTTGGGATGGTTATTTTTACGGAGTTATGAATTTTTAAAGGGGTGCATTTTGACAGAGTTATACATTTTTGTAGGTGACCATATTTTTATAGGAATTCAATTTTGTTAGGTTCGAGTGGAAAAAAAAAGAATGAAAACATGTAACCAATCACAGCAAGTGTGTCTGTAAATGGTCTACAATTTTTTATAATTTTATTTTCACTTCCACTGTTTTTAAGAGGAGAAGAGCAATACAATATCTTGAAAGGATGGGGCGCGCGCCATCGAATTTGGAAGGGGGGCACTCCTGTTTGAAGTAAACAATAAATTTTAACAATGCAAGTTGAATTGTAACTTACTAACGTAACTAGATCTTAAGTATCATTTACACGTTTAATAAACTATGGGAAATTAGAGCAGGTTTCAGGGGCGTTTCTCTAGGCTAGTGTTTTTGACCGACCCGTCTGTCAATTTTTCAAGCGAAATCAAAAGGTGTTTGGGTTAGCGCTGGAGTAAATTTTATGCATAGGGGTGTTATTATACGGTAGAATAACGCACTATCAACCGTTTCAGTTACAAACAGTTCTGGGTTTCAAGGATTTGCTTAATCGTTGATATTCCGCTTTTAAAGAGGATGCTCAAAGCATGCTCAAAACATTTGGCGCCCGTAAGGAACTTATTTTTGAAGCCGGAAAAAAATTAAATTAAATATTTTTAAGCCACCTTAGTGAGTTGGATATGAAGTTGATATATTTTGGGGAACATAAATATGCATGTTTCAAAGTTTTAAAACATTGATTTTATATTTTTATTTTGAACTATTTCTATGTTAATGTTAAGTTGGTTTTATGCTAAAAGTTTTCAGGTTTATTAATGATACTTACATGTTTTATTGTCCGCATCTAAATGATGTTTTTCAGGACAATTTATACAAACCATTTCACCGGCTACTGTCTGTATACAATCTTCTTCTGAACATCCTATACATTTTCTGAAAAAAATAAGAAATATTAACCATTTACAACCCATACTTGACTTATCGAAACATATAATATACTGTATATCTCAGGAGTAAAGAACACTATGGGATGGTATGCATAGTCGTTCCTTAAACTCCATTTGAATTTTCCAAACATATATTCCAAATTGAAACAGTCCCGTTATCTCCATTACTCATTCAATGCTGCCAATAGTTAAGATAAGAAGGAGCATTTGTGCAATCAAATTGTTTGACAGGCAGTGGTTTAGATTACGCCGAATGCAGCCAGCAAGGTGGAAATTAATTCAATCAAATGAAAAAAATAAACAAATTATATATTGATTTGTTGTAAAGGTCTTAATCAGTGTCAGTTTTGCCGTTGTCTAATTAAAAACCATTTAAGTAATTATAAGATATTATATTATAAATAATTTATTAAATATCATAAAAATTTAGTTCGGCCCAACCTACTACAAGGCGTTAACCTCAAAATATTACGTAGACCTGAATACTCTGAATTCTTTAAAGACTTGATCGTCGATACGAAAGCTATGGATTCCCTAAATTAATATTCTGTCTATATAAACGTGAATCTAATGATTTAAGCACGAATATTAAGGCACAACACAAATGTGATTTTACAATTCTGTGAAATTATATACATAACTTATGTTTGTGTTAACGAACAAGAACAAAAGAAGAAATAACACTATGATTTAATAACAGTTTGTGGCCCCTTTCATAATTTTATATTTCTTGTTTTGGTAATATGTTAATAAAGTTTGATAGAAGTTCTTGTTAAGTAGTTCGTAACGATGCTTTAAAATCCCTGGCCTTTTTTTCATCATAGAGAGAGAGAGAGAACCACAGGCGCGAGAGCGGCCCCTCATCAAACTGTATGTTGAAATTGTTACGATTAATTAACACACTAAAACTGGTTGCCCCTTCAGGGACATTGATTGGAAAAACGAAATAAAAGATATTAACAAAGTAATTGGCAACGTCATTTACAAATATTCCTCCGTCGAACTTTTTCCTTTTTTTTATTTTTTATTTTTTTATATCACAAAAACAGGGCTCCCGGACATATAACATGTAACAGGCCCCCCAATATTGTACACTAGCCTAGGGTGATATGGTCATATCAAAATAAAGAAATAGGAGTATGCATGGCCAAAATCATGTACGAAGCGAAACTAGAAGGAAGGAGTCTGAGGAGAAAAACTAGAAACACATGGGAAAGTGAATTCAGTGTTTCGACAGGAGAGAAACGGACTGGAACAGACGCATTGGGTTAGCTAGTTTAACAATCGAATGATAAGAATTTTATATATTGTTTTGATTTGTTTATCAGCGTTTGCTAAACTAATAATAAATTGTTTTCTATGGCTTTTGATGGAGTTTAATGAAACGGATAAGTAAAAACTAGGACTACCTACAAGGATTGGTTTAAACCTGTCTCGATCAGTCAAAACTAGTTCTAACTACTATATTGATCAGATCTGTGTTTCATGATTACCTTTCTACGGGTGTGCAGGACTTGCCATCTGACATCAAAGTCCATCCAGGTCTGCAGGTGCACCTGTAAGACTGTCCAGAAGGAACACAGTTATGATGACAAAGTTCATCAGGCAACATTAGACACATGTTCTTACTTGGATCTGAAACATTTAATGTCCAATGTTTATTTTTTAATATTTAAAATATAAATGAACTTATATATATACTTAAGTAAGAAGTAAATCATCAATCGTTATTTGGCAACAAATAATGGTTTGTTTTTCTACAAGTCAAAATGAATATGGTAAGATTATTTACCTCTTTCGTTCTCTTTGGATGATCTGTGATCCTGATTGCTCTCACAGCACTTCGTGTAAGCTCCGTCCCATAACCCACCAAAAGAAGTTCTTCCAAGGTTACAGCCCACGCCTAGGATTGAGGATTCTAAACCAATAGCACAAGCCTTGCAACAATTCTGTAAATGAAACAAATGTTTTACGATATTGAAAAGAGGGTGATGCGTATTTATCAAGGAACTATTTATCGCAGGCAATAATAGTGATAACTATAATCCAAGGATGTTAGAAAAAGATCGACTGAAATCAAAGTTTTTTTTTCTATTTTGTGAAGCTCATCTCCAAGTCGGAATCGCGGCCACTTGTATTTTATAATACACCAATTGTCAGGTTACCGGTGTTCTGTAATCAACGATGGAGTGTTTAATATTCTTTTTATATTGGGAATTCAGAGCCTGTTGCAATTTGGCCCATTAGTAATTACTGTTGGCTCCTGCGGCTCTCCAATCACGAAAACCAAAAAAGGATCTCTTGTTGGACATATTATTCATCCATTGCAATCGGGGTGTGCCCACACATCTGGCATCATATATTCTTTTCGTCCATGGTCCTCCAAGGCACTTGGACTGGTATCATCTTTGTAATAAGGCCAGCCAACCGGAATAGTCATATCTTGATTAATCTTATAATAGCAGGTTATTTTTACAGTTCCCCTGAATCTGCGTTTGATCGGATCCTTCCATTCTGTTACTATTCTAGAGACCGAATATGTTGCTTAGTATACACCGCTCAATTTAAGATTACTCTTGTGCTCTTCTCGTTAACTTCCAACATTTTGAGCCTTAGGTCAACACAGGTACGATTAGTGTTTCGTAGATGCTTAGCTTCGTTAATCAGAAAATCGGTTTACTTTTTAAATGCTTATAAAGGTCTAAGGTTCGCGGTCAAGAGTTTTCTCTAATTTTTTGCCTTAACATGGTAGTTGGAATTTACCTGCGACCGAGGTAAACAAACTCTCTAATCCTCTCAAATATCATTATTTTTTCCTCGATAATGGCTATCTTAAGGTACTTTTTCGCTGGTACTGCCCACCGCACGGGCTGCTAGCAGTTAATCACTGATTTACTGTCTTAGTACCTTTAAGACCTGCGTATATCATTTCTCAGCTTCCTTATTAGCCCATATTCTCACTCATCTCTCTCTCTTTCGCCCGTCTGTCCATTTTCCTCTTCTCTCATCTTTTTTTTACACTACAAAAACCTTGATATATTTTCTAAATTTTTATCTGTCCTGGAATTCGTTTTCTGTAATATCAAGTCTCACAGGCGGATATACGGAGAGGGGGGAGGGAGGGGGTATTACGGGCTGAAGCTCCCCTAAAATGGTAAAATGTAAGTAAGCATGTTTTATGGCAAAAAATATCAAAAAAATTATTTTCAAGTTAATTTATAATCAACTAAATTTACACAAATTTTTAAAATTTTTGTCAACTTAATGACTATTCATCACAATTACGACGTTTCGGCTCGTTGAGCCATTTTCAAGTCTAAAAAATGAGTAGACGCATGCAATTCGCATAAGTGAAAAGGACAGGTGTATGATGGGTATTTTAAGTATATAAAAAGAATCTTTATATTTTGAAATATTGTATAGTTAATATATGATTGTAATTTTAAAAAAATTTACACTTGAAAATGGCTCGACGAGCCGAAACGTCGTTATTGTGATGAGTAGTCATTAAGTTAACAAAATTTTAATAATTGGTGTAAATTTGGCTGATAATAAATTAAATTGAAAATAAATAGTATGCACCGAAGAAGAAGTGAGAAATATTGTAAAAAAAATTATCTCTTAATGTATTATTGTTCGTGTAATTACATTTTATAGGACTTATATGTGATACATATACGTGATATATATGAAAAAAAAAAAAGCTTTGCGGCTAAAGCCCCCAAAAAATATTAAATCCTGGATCCCCAGTGCCAAGTCTTGCCTCTGATATTTCATAAGAATTGCTTCACTGTAAATTAGACAAAATTTACTTGATGAATGAAAATAGAGTTTGTCATTGTTAAAGCCATTTAAAGAGGACTTTTGAGCGTCTAAACTAAGTTAAGTTTTGTTTTTAAAAAATCATAAATTATTCGCAATTTTTTTATCATTAGCCATTTATATTACCGATAAACCACTTTTATACAAACTTCCCCGTTTAATAAGTTATATTTTCATATTAATTAAGTTGAGGTTTACTAGGGAAAAACTTTAGATTCACCTCAAGTTGTGCAAAAAAATGATGTGATTTTATACCCTGTCACCTAAAAGTACCCATGTTTTCAGAAAAAAATGTTGCAAAACGTTCTTCTTTTTCCATGATCTGGCATGTATTATTATAAACATAATTACCTAAATTCAGTTTTTATTTATCACAAAAAAATATTAAAAATAATGATTTTTCATGTATTACGATCTGAACTTGTTGCCCATTTTGCAACCCTTTAAGTATTTCATCATATATCATCATTGTATTTCTATAGTACCTATTGTTTATATATAAATACGTGAATACTGGCTTATATAAAGATTTTAAGCTGTAGAATAACGAAAAATTTTATTCTGTAAAACCTTGAATTTTACACAGTAAATTATAATTACTATGTTGCAGCACTACTACCCCCGTTCTAATTAATAACTGCGTCAGTGATAATATATCACCATGTGATATAAATAGTTTATAAATTAGGAAGTTACACTAGGTTATTCAGAGTTAGGTGTACTGAATGATTGTACCAATTATAACATTAATCATATAACAAAACAATGTTAATATTATGTAATAGAACATTCCTTTTGTAAGGCCGGGCTCTAAAACATGTAAGTGTAATCAATAATTCATGTGAAGTTATATTGATATTGTTAAAATAAATATGTTTATCTAGTTTATTTGCGTTTTAAGTCTTGATAATAAATAGGTAATAACTATAACCTATGAAGGGTTGAAGATAAGATAGTAAAATAATATATATTCTTGACAAATATTTGATGCTCGACAACTTTCTTCCCCCTAACGTTTTCGTACAATGAATAAAAATAAAAAAAGTTTGCAAGTTAAAAAAAAAAAAGACATCACGGTAACTATGCAAGAAATAAATATCATTGAATAAATATTTTTGGAAATTTGATCAGCTTTTATTTTGAATGTCATTAACGCTTGGATGCATTGTTTCCCTGAAATAAGCGACAAATCTGGCTTACTTCCTATAGGAGTGGGAACTTTTAGTCGACATAAAGGACGTGGCAAGGTTGGCAGAGAATATAATCCTTGACTCCCTGGGAATTATCCATCACCATGTGCATGGATAGAGAGTTTGTTCATGGGGGGAAGCATGCGAGGTTTTACAGCATTTTTACATTATTTATTGACCACGTCCACTGCACTTTATGTATTTGTATGCATGTTATGAATTAGGTTAGGAAAAGAGGGAATGAGAAAAATGTATAGAGTGAGAGAAGGAACAGAAAGGGATGTATAATGCCAATAAATGAACGAAAAAAATAGTAAAAATAAAATAAATAAAAATATAGGAAAAAAAAATTATGATAAAAAAAAAATATATATATATAGATAAAAAAAAAATTGTATATTATGCTCATACATGTTGTTAATACTATATAATTGTATATTAGTTTTGGAAAATTGTCTGTAGCGATTAATAAGTATGCTGTGTTTAAAGCAACCCAATGTAATTGGGCAGCACCCTTTTATGATAATAAAGTGATTCTCTCTCTACCTCGTTACTAGTCCGAAAGTCTCATAGTTAACAATTTTGTTCATACCATTTACCTCTATACCCCCTTTTTTTAGTATTCATTGACTGGACCAGTAGTAATATGTGATCTTAAACACAGAGCTTTATTGCATGTTTTGACCGAAATATTCACTTTTTAACTTCATCATAAATAAATAAAAATATGGCAAAACGTTTTAAAACTCACGATACGATCCAATGTACACACTTCCTTTCCTCTTGAGAATTCTTCGGCACAGGACCTCCCGGCTTTTGCTGACTCAATGCCTTTCGTACATTCCGTTTCTCTATAAAATATAATTAGTCAAATAATTTAGAACCCATTGCCCGTTGACATTAATAATATCATAGTCTGATTACTTCCATTACCTCACAGCATTTACACAACATAACATTTTAGCTGTGTGACAATAACTCTCGTAAGCTGACGAAACTCCTTCTACTGAGCTAGTGTTCTCGCACTCCGAAATATGCGTTGCATTACTTCCTGATTGGCAACACTTATTTATCATGTTTTGGATATCTTCGCCTGGAAAATTTAGAAAAACAAATAAAAAAATAGATTCCTATCGCGTATGATTCCTTAACTACCAATTAAAACCAATAATCATTGCCTTTTTTTTCTGCTGGAAATGCTTAACAACTACTTCTAATATATATATAAGTAAAATATTAAATAGTCATTGTAAAATTTTGAATTTTTACTCCAAAGTTAATCTGAAATTATTTATTTTCACAAGTATTTAAATAGGAAAAAAAAAATAACTAGACAGATAAAACTTTATTTATCTGGGTAAATATCCCATATTTCTATAAGGAAGTTTAATATGCATGAAAAACGGTTTAAGTAGGAAGGTCAAATCGTATTTTGCATACTTAAACTTAAAATAAAATAGCTAAGTATCTTAACAATTTTAGGAGAAAGAAAAATGCGAAGATATTAGCTGCTGTCTGAAATAAACTAGACTAATCTTATGAGTAGTATTTCAATCATCCTATCATTTTAATTGAAAGCTAACATGTAAGTCAAGGCTATAGGAATAAAATGGGAATGCAGAGCGTGTCAATTTATAATTTATTGAAGAGATAATAGGTTTTACTGGACTATGACATACGATTGACATCACAACATGCTCTAGTTACTATTTGTAAGACAATTGACATTGAAATGCATATGAAAAGAAATATATTTGCACATATATTCGTTTACCACTCTTATTTCCTCTCATAGTTACCTATTTCCTGCCATTGAAGTACATATTATTCAGAAAAGATAATCTGTGCCATTGGGCACAATACAAGCTTTATATGAACTGTATAAAATTACTATATGTATATACCTGGAGCAGGCCAAGCGTGTGGGTCGTAGAGCTGTATAATAATAATCCGCACATATATTATTACAGTAAGGCTCGAAATCGGTTTTGTACCAAATATAAGCTCCTGTCATGCTCAAATACTATGAATGGGTTACCGTTGGATTCAGAATTTCAGGGGGGGGTTAGCGAATCGTATTCTCCGCTTTTGTTTTTCTTTCTAAAATAAATAAAGTCGATACAAACATTTTGCTAGGCTTCAATAGTGGAACGGTGGTAGGCCTGTAGATCGATGCGGGACAAATTGGACCTTGAAGATTTTGATGCGTACAGTAAGACCCTGATAGTTCCTCCGGAACTATCGGATCCTGCGTTATTAAGCCCAAAAACGTACTATTTTCTAGATAACGCAAGGCATGGGGTTCGCATCCACACAACCTGACGTTAATTGTAGTACTGGCGTTAGATACATGTCTCATTTTGTCGACATGAGGTCTCTATGATCAAGACTGGAGGAGTTAATATTATTTATCGATGGTGTTTTTAATCGGCAAGCCATATCATCGTTAATTCTTCACCAAATTTCAAGATTGAGCCACCAAAGGCTTCCTTCTCCTTCAGGCGGGCAAAATAGTCCAATCATCCCGAAAATGCAGGTAAACAAGTTATGAAAGAAAACAAACTTTATTTACGAATAACTAAAAAATTACACACTTTTCCTTTGGTTATTCCCATGATTATATAAAACATTACTAAATTGTCTACAAAAGGAAAAAAAAATCATTGAAATCGGTCAACTTTTTGCAAAGATACAGCTTATTGAAATTTATAAATATGTTGGTTCCAAACAAAAATGAAAATTTAAATTAATTTTGTTTCCTTTGTCGATTATATTTATCGATAAAGTAATAATTGATTCATTTATCTTTTGATACGTTGCATTATTTTATTTTCTTATTAATTTGGCATTTGATAACAATATGCTGTGCGAATTTTTCGCACGGGCCTATTAGTAATAATAATAATGAGTTAATGTTTGCGTCATTGCTGTGCCAAATCACGGAAACATTAACTCAGTCTATGCAGAAAAAAATCGGAAGTATCAAGGTCTAGCAGCTGAGTTAAAAAGTTTGTATAAACTTAATAAAGTAACCGTTAGGGGCGTTGTGATCTCCAGCAATGGCCTGATACCGGTATCTACTGTGGGAGTTACTGGGCCTCCCAACTCATGTAACAAATGAAGCTCAGAAAGCGGTGCTGTTGAATACTGCCAGAATTGTAAGAAGGTTTCTCAACATCCAATAGAAATTAAAATAGAATATAACTGAGATAGTTGGAGTTGATTCTTCCCCACTCAAGTAAACAAAAAATCTTTTGTAAAAGTGTTGACAAATAACATTATATATATATATATATATATATATATATATATATATATATATATATAAAAGGATAAACTGGTTATTTATTAATTTCTAGCTAATGTTTAATAATAAAAGCAATCACTGGTATACTACAGGACTCGATCCATTTCGGACCATTAATGACAGTGGCCTGCGTTTATATTGGAGCTGCGATGGACGGTATCTGATAAGTAATACGCGATACCATAAGCTATCACCAATCGTAGCTCCAATAATGACGTATATCAAAGCATACGTAAAGCGCTAAAGTTTAACTACTGTTTATTCTCCTAGAATAAAGAAAAAGAAGAGGAATATAAGATCTGAATTTGTTACCAGAATGAATGTCACGTTAATGGTTTATTTACCATTTAATCAAGAATAAATAGATTATAATACATGATCATATTTTTTCAATAAACTCATACAAAGTAATTAAACTCCCAAGATTGGCAATATTTTTTTTAGAAAATTTAATATCTATTATGTCGGTATTTAATACTAACACTATTATTATAAAATGAAATAAAGTTACAACAACTTCAACATATACTATTAGTGAAAAGTCTTCAGAAGACGACGGTTTTTCGGTTTCCCTTAGTGAGCTTCAGTATACGGCCCCAATTCCCGACTCTCCCTCCCTAAAAACACCTGTAGCAATGAATTCAGTACTTCGTTCGTTTGTATCTAACTTATCGTTTCCCAATGAAGAGTACCTAACAAAGATGATGGCCATGGGAGGGGAAGAAGGGATTGCTGTACCTATCGGCGCCTGTATTTAGGAATATTGAGAGGGCCAAAGTTATTATAACATGATAGTAGTGTTCGAGCAATGGGAAGGAGTGGGTTGGAGGGGAGGGAGGTAGAATGCTATACGTAAAGAAGTAGCTAAGAAATCAGTTGCTTACATGTATTTGTTTTACTAATACCTCTATGGTTTATTGGACTGTTTTTAATTATTTTAAAGTAAGTTACTACGAAATATTGGAGGAGCATAATCCGTCCCATAAAATATTAGGAGATAGAAAGAGCCCTGCTCACCCTCCTTGGTGCCAAAAAATTAAAAATGAAATAGCTATAAATATAAACATTTATTTCTTAAAAATAATTTGATTAAAAATGATTGGTTAAAAATTATTTGATAGCAACAGGTTAGCTGTTAATATTTCAATATTTTTAAAGAAGCTAATTACATAAACAAGACACGCTCTACATGAATGAAATTATTTTCAAAAGAATTATTTCTTAAAATAATTTTTACTCACCAAGAAAGTAGTCTATAAAAAACACATTACTCCCCATTCTGACAAATGCAAGCGAATCATGGACCCTTATAATGAAACACAACAGTCAGATCCAAGCAATGGAAATGAAATGATTAAGAAAGGGGAAGGAAAGACAAGACGGTACCGTGTGAACAACAATAAGATAAGAGCAAACCTCAATATGTGAACAATCAAGGAAATTTTGGAAGAATATCGCTTTAGGAGGTTTAGACACTTGTCGCGAACGTCTGAGAATCGCATCGCTCTATCTCTGAAGCTATCACAGAAGTAAAAAGGCCCCAAGTAAGGCTCAGGAAGACTTGGGATGAAGGGTTAAAAGAGGCCTTCGACAGGAGAGGAGGAAATAGCTGTTACTGAACCGGGATTTATGGATCAAACTCTATCAAAGAAGAAATTCCTTCAAAATGGAGCTTTCATAACATCTTATGCCCTCAAAGATTCATTTTATAGAGGTTATATGTTCACCAGGAGCGTCTCCTGACTCCAGGGCGATCATCGGAAAATGTAACAGAATACATATTTATCTTTAAAATTGCTGAAATATGCTTAAAATTGATAGAAACCACTAATTACCAATGATACACCGAATTTAATCATAATCGTTAGAGCTGTTTTTGAGAAAATTGTAAAAATGTGTTTCAGCGTTGATATAAAGTGGTACTTCCGGTTAGCCGATTTTAAGAGAAAAGTGGCTGTCACATCTAAGGCATATACATATCTTAAATAAGTAATTTCGTAGACACGCAGACTATTTTTCGGGACTTGGTTATTTGGACTCAGGGTACCCCAAAACGTGTTTTTCCGTTGAAAACTCAGATTCAAAAATTTTCACGATCGCAATACTTACCCTTACTATATATTAACATATATACGTAAGTGAAAGTAAAAAGATATTCATAATAAATAATATTACGTGCGTAATATATAGTTAATATCTACTGTATTTTTTTTTTACTTCAATTCTTCATTGAGAAATTTCACCATCTGTCACATCTAAGGACAATAGTGATAGTGATAGGTAAATAGCTAATGCACACTATGTACAACAAATAAACAGAAAAATAATATTACTAAAAGTAAATGTATATAAACTAAACTAAACAAAAAGAACACCTGCTTTTATACAATATTTACAAAATTCATCCAATCAAGATCCCCCACTCGTGTAAGAAAAGGCATGACTCTGGGAGACCCCAGCGCCTCTCACCACAGGCGAATCACCAGAATACGGGGGAGGGTACCTTTCGGGCTGAAGCCTTTCTAAAAATGGTAAAATATTATCATGTCTTAAGAAAAAAGTATCTATAAAAGTATTCTTGTTTCTCCCCTCCCTTCAATTAATTAATTAATTAATTAAGAGTATCCACTTTATTGAGGGGTCTGTTGCTGGAGTATCTCAAGTATATCAAATATATTAAAAATTAATCATTGATTTAGAAGATAAATATATTCTCCTTAGTTTGAATAACTTAAAAAAATTGGTGTTTTTTATTGCCTAAGCCAATTAATTTTGAATATTTTTTT